TTCTGTTAGAAAACTTTTTTTTTTGGATTAGGTTTGCGTTGAGGTTAAGTTTTAAGGCTAATGTTAGGTTTCCTGTTGATGTATCTTATAGCATGGGACGGCGTGGCCTAGCGGTAGAGAGCGAGACTGTTAAGTCGAGAGTCTCGAGTTTTATTCAGTGGAACGTCCCTGAGTCCACCCAGCTCTGATGGGTACCTAACTTACGTCAGGGAAAACAAAGGCGGCTGATCACACTATGCCAAGGTCAATGAATCAGATGAACTCTACTTCATCTTCCCCGTGTGTCTTTGGCACGAGCGATGCTGTATGAAATAACGATACTGGTTACACAAAGATGTAGAAACAGCTAGCCGATAAATACTGAATAAATATCTCGTTTGCCCCGAGTACACAATTGTGTTCCATAATTGTTGTTTTCCCTCGCTGTTTTCCACCATGTTGTCGTTTTTTTGTGGGGAGCTCACGTCTGTTGACTAAACACGTGACCTGTTGCCAGCTTTGGATTGGTCAATATTTTTCTTCTCCTGATTTTTCGCTTGAGCAGCCTTCTCCACGCGCCCATTTTTGGCGCATGCCCAAAGTTTCCTGCCGTATAAAACAAGGGTAGTTAATCCATGCTGTTTGTATCCGCTAGAGTTAGCTCCCCTGGTTCATTGACGGAAAGGGGCGGCCCACAGCAGATGTGGAAATTCCCGGCTAGTGTGAGCTCACCCAGCCTTGGTCGTCTGCTCGTCGTGTCTGATTTTGGCTTGTTTACAATTATCCATTAATTTTTTACGGCACGAGAATCCATGTGCGAGTGAGTGGTTTTTCGTGCGTGCACGTGAAAGTAAACACGCTACGTTGTTGTTTTTTTACACTGCTCCACAATTATTTTTTGGCTAGCATTTGTATATAGTTGTTAACGTTAGGGTTAGGACCAGGGTTAAGAGATAATGCTTAGTTTTCAACACGAGAGTTCTACGCAATACGTTTTAGACGGGGGTGTCAGATCTAAATGTAATCATTTTCAGTGCTATGTTAGCTCTGTTGTTCACATGGTCTGTTCCTCTATAAAATTGGCTCCTACTTAACTTTGATCTGAGCCCTTGTTGGTCCAGTGTGTGGTTCAGGCTACCTTTGACGCTATGAGGGTTTCATGCTACCTTTGGCGCTATGAGTGTTTCATTCTACCTTTGGCGCTATGATGGGCTCATGCTACCTTTGGCGCTATGATGGGCTCATGCTACCTTTGGCGCTATGATGGGCTCATGCTACCTTTGGCGCTATGAGTGTTTTATGCTACCTTTGGCGCTGGCTATGTGGGGTACAGCCAGGCTACCTCTGCTGGCTACATGATCCACTGGCTACCTCTGCTGGCTACACATATTACTCTCTACCTTAAGGCTACCTGTACGTGTACAGGTTTATCTCTGTAGCCGTTGATTAAGAGCTCCTGGAATACCTGTACGTCGGCGTCTGCTGTCATCACCTGGTCTAGCCCAGGTATCACATTACGGGTGTGGCTTGTGTGTGTCGTCTGCTGGCAAGTGGCAGGCGGGAGACGGCCAGGCAGGCTGTTAAGATACTCAGACAGGCTAATATACACAGGCAGGCTAATATACCCAGGCAGGCTGTTAAGATACCCAGGCAGGCTGATATACCCAGGCAGACTAATATACCCGGGCAGGCTAATATACCCAGGCAGGCTGTTAAGATACACAGGCTGGCTAATATACACAGGCAGGCAGGCTAAGATACCCAGGCAGGCTAATATACACAGGCAGGCAGGCTAATATACACAGGCAGGCAGGCTAAGATACACAGGCAGGCTAAGATACACAGGCAGGCTAAGATACACAGGCAGGATGTTAAGATACCCAGGCAGACTAAGATACCCAGGCAGGCTAAGATACCCAGGCAGGCTAATATACACAGGCGTATATATACCCATGCTGGCTGTTAAGATATCCAGGCAGGCTAATATACACAGGCAGGCAGGCTAATATACCCAGGCAGGCTAAGATACACAGGCAGGCTGTTAAGATACCGAGGCAGGCTGTTAAGATACACAGGCAGGCTTTTGAAGATACCCAGGCAGGCTAATATACCCAATCAGGATGTTAAGATACCCGGGCAGGCTGTTAAGATACACAGGCAGGCTTTTGAAGATACCCAGGCAGGCTAATATACCCAATCAGGATGTTAAGATACCCGGGCAGGCTGTTAAGATACACAGGCAGGCTTTTTAAGATACCCAGGCAGGCTAATATACCCAATCAGGATGTTAAGATACCCGGGCAGGCTGTTAAGATACACAGGCAGGCTTTTTAAGATACCCAGGCAGGCTAATATACCCAATCAGGATGTTAAGATACCCGGGCAGGCTGTACGATACGGTAGGGGATGTTTTCTTGTAACCAAAATAGTGTATGATGAGAGACGCCCATTTCAGATCCAGTTGTAAGATAGTTCACATCAAACCTATTTCTTCGCCGATGTCTTCTGTTTCTTCCTTATTACTATGTTGTCCCTTTCATGTAGGGTTCTGATGTCCCAGGTCCCTAATCTATTTTTAGTCTCGGTCATTAGGAGATTTGTCGTCAGGTTAACTTCATTGAGGTTTTCACTTGAATACATCATGGGCGCTTCTAAAGAGGAACTTTCTCTTCCAAGTTAACGTTGGGTTGGTGTACCTGCAGTTTGGTTTCTGTAGCAGGTTGGTTGGAGGCCTTCTGTTCAACCCCCAACCTGGAGGACCAGGGTGCTAGATTTTGGTTGAACCTGCCAGGAGTTAACACTCCCGCTGGTATAGCTCTGGGGGTCATGCCAGGAGTTTATACCCCCGCTGGTATAGCTCTACACAAGCTGTCGGGACGGAAGTAATCGCCATTGACACGAGATCAACTCAACTCTACATACAACTGACCCTCGTCCGATTCAACCACCATAGACCAATGTTGACCAAAAGACCACTGAAAGTATCGATACACACTCCTTAAAATTGTTCATTTAAATCTACCCCCCCCCTCTTTCTGCACACACTTTCTCTCCCCCCCCCCCCTATACTCCCATTGTTGATTGTAAGTTCCATTTTACGACTAGTTTGTAGAAGTAGGTATATGAGTTCCCCAACAATGTTTATTCTATAACTTTGGTCTGAACAGGATTGTTTGGATTGTAGAAAATGTTTACAAATTTTAGCGCTGCTATTTAAAAATATTAAATTCCCGATCTATTAATTATCCCCAGACGCTTTCTGTCCGACCCCCCCCCCCCCTCTTACCCCACCTCTAGCACACACACACACACACACACACACTCACACTTTCACTTTTTCTCACTCGACCAAGCTCTCGACTTTGTGTGAAACGAGAATGTCTGTGACTGCTCGGCATTTGAACTATTCCTCTGACGTCACCCGGCATCTAAGACATAGCTGGAAATGTAAACAGTTTTTGTCACGTGGCAGGAAATAGTTTTCTGGGGGCTGCAAGATGGCGGCCAATTTGACGAAAGTTGACCCCGACAGATTTTCGCTCAACTTGAAGTCACGTGATCTGTGTACTCGCCATCTGACGCGCGGATGTGTAATTTGACCAGACATCAGAGGGTTGCAGAGATAAAGCCTGGATGTAATCGTCTGCACATTACTGGCTCTCGTCTGCTCTAGGTCGTGTGGCGGGTACCGTAGATATAGATGTGTGTGATTGTCACTTGTGTTTACAGGTCTGTGTAACAGGTATAGATGACCATCACAGTACTGACCACTGGCCGGATACAGTCCTACTAATTATTTTATCACTTTTTTTTCTGAATTGCGTCTTCAAACTTTCGTGAAGTAAAGTTCAAAGTCACAGCATCAACCCGCCACCACTGGGTCATTGTGTCCGGATTTGGGTTCAGTGTTCACTACACAGATGGGGGGGGGGGGTCGTGTATAAACAGCTTTAGTGCTTGTGTAGACATATCAATCAGATTTTGGGATAGATATGTCAATAAAGGATTCACACTTGCATATCGTTGGCCATTCGTGTCTGAACACTTGTCTTCTTTTCTTCCCCACCCTCGCCCACCACACATCAGATAACATTGTAGTCGAAAAACAACATTTGGCCATGACAAGGGTTGCAATATTCCCCAAATCATGTGTGAGAGATAACATGAATGATTAAATGTTGACGGAAGTTGAGTAGTTGAGAGTGAGTAGCACTTGTACACAGGCTGTGTCGACTGTCTTGACTGACATGTTAAGGTCAACATCTGGTCAGCCTGGATGGTCAATATCTGGACACTCAGGTTCGTTCAATATCTGGACAGGCATGTTTTGGTTTATATCTGTATAATTATGGTCTGGACAATTCTTGGACAGTCAGTTTTGGACAACAGACAGGTTGGCCAGTAACTGTGCTTTGGTCCATATCTGGACATCCAAAGTCTCCTACTTTCTACCAAGTCTAGCATCACCTGCACCCAGACTAAATCTGTTGGCAATTATTTAATTTCAACCCTGAAAGAATCTTATCTACAACTTTCATAACCCACTACCCTCCCTCCTCTCCTTAATGATGATTTAGGTGGCATATGTTGACCCCTAAAACCTATCTGGCAACCTTTGATAAACCTGTGATAGTTCATCACTAGGGGGCGCTTCATTAGCACACAATAAAACATTTCATTTGAGGAACTTTTTTTTATTTGTGGGAAGGTGGGTTGTGGTATGGTGTGGAAGTTTGTAGATTAACTGTGTAGGGTTTAGGGTTGGGGATTAACTGTGTATGGCTAAGTATGAGGTTTGGAGATTAACTGTGTAGGGCTGGGTATGGGGGTTGGAGATTAGACTATGTACTGTTGCGTGTGCTATTGTAATGTGTGGTTGATGTTGATGACTGTTGAGTGTGTACTCTGTACTGTTGTCATTGGACACACCCACTTCAAGGGTGTACCATGAGTGAGCAACTAATATAACACAAACTTTTGAAACAGCAATGTCATTTAAAACAATTTTCATTTTTTTGTAGGTGGGAGGAGAGAAGGGCAGCCAATGGGCGTGTACATTATGTCAATCATGTGACCAGAACTACCCAATGGGAGAGACCTACAAGGTAAACATGAAGCCATATCTCCATGTAGTTGTGTCTATTGTGTTGTATTGGTCAGCAGACAGGTTGCATCATGTCAATCATTATGTCAATCATGTGACCAGAACTTCCCAATGGGAGAGACCTATAAGGTAAACATGAAGCCATATCTCCATGTAGTTGTGTCTATTGTGTTGTATTGGTCAGCAGACAGGTTGCATTATGTCAATCATTATGTCAATCATGTGACCAGAACTTCCCAATGGGAGAGACCTATAAGGTAAACATGAAGCCATATCTCCATGTAGTTGTGTCTATTGTGTTGTATTGGTCAGCCTGGGTCAGGTGAGCTGGATGTGTTACCTCATAATGAAGATAATCCACACCTTTTGTGGTGTTGTATGTATAGGTAGCAACCAAACAACGTCTGCAACATGACACACCTATAGAAGAAAAAAACTGACACCCAGTCTTTGGGGAGCTCAGCTGTATCTACTCCCCAACAATAAACATTTTTTATAGCCAGGAATAGCAGGCAGATTTAGCCAGCGCCATAATGAACACATCTTACCTTGACAGCCTGCCCCGCTAGCACCTGGTATTAATACCTGGCACTGTCTAGCAGGCTCAGACTCTGGTGCGGAACATTTTCCTCTTTGTTCTGTCATGTGACTTAACACCACCAGGTAGACAAAAACATGCCAGATTTTATTAACTAATGAACATTTTCATATGCCAGTTTGATAAACTGTTGCAAGTAAATATTAAGTTGCCAGATTTTATTAACTTTGTACCAGATTTTATATTCCAATGCATACAAATTTAAGTACATCTTTTTTTGTTTTTTAATTTTTATACTTGTTTTTTAAATAAAATACAAATTTATAGAACAAGTAAACAGGTATTTACACATTAAAACTAGTGAAAGAATCTCAGCCTGGGTTCAACAAGGTCACTCTAGTTGGTTAGGGTCTGTGTAATTATCTTCCCCTGTAAACTCAGAAATAGGTTGTTACCATAGCAACCATTGTGTTTATGCTGGAGGTAGGGCTCTAGCACACCCCAAACAACGCTTGCTATTTAGAAACAATAGCTCCTGCTCCAAAGAAAATCCCAGGTAAAGTCAGGTAGACAAAGCCCAGGTGTCCATGCTTGGCTTGTCTTTCATCACCTGGGTGTTTGTGTGAGGCATCACATACAAGTTGTGTGAGACATCACATACAAGTTGTGTGTTTGTGTGAGGCATCGCATACAAGTTGTGTGTTGTGTGAGACATCACATACAAGTTGTGTGAGACATCACATACAAGTTGTGTGTTGTGTGAGGCATCACATACAAGTTGTGTGTTGTGTGAGGCATCACATACAAGTTGTGTGAGGCATCACATACAAGTTGTGTGTTGTGTGAGGCATCACATACAAGTTGTGTGAGACATCACATACAAGTTGTGTGTTGTGTGAGACATCACATACAAGTTGTGTGTTGTGTGAGACATCACATACAAGTTGTGTGAGGCATCACATACAAGTTGTGTGAGACATCACATACAAGTTGTGTGTTGTGTGAGGCATCACATACAAGTTGTGTGTTGTGTGAGGCATCACATACAAGTTGTGTGAGGCATCACATACAAGTTGTGTGTTGTGTGAGGCATCACATACAAGTTGTGTGAGACATCACATACAAGTTGTGTGTTGTGTGAGACATCACATACAAGTTGTGTGTTGTGTGAGACATCACATACATGTTGTGTGTTTGTGTGAGACATCACATACAAGTTGTGTGTTGTGTGAGACATCACATACAAGTTGTGTGAGACATCACATACAAGTTGTGTGTTTGTGTGAGACATCACATACATGTTGTGTGTTTGTGTGAGACATCACATACATGTTGTGTGTTGTGTGAGACATCACATACAAGTTGTGTGAGGCATCCCATACAAGTTGTGTGTTTGTGTGAGACATCACATACAAGTTGTGTGTTGTGTGAGACATCACATACAAGTTGTGTGTTGTGTGAGACATCACATACAAGTTGTGTGTTGTGTGAGACATCACATACAAGTTGTGTGTTTGTGTGAGACATCACATACAAGTTGTGTGAGGCATCCCATACAAGTTGTGTGTTGTGTGAGACATCACATACAAGTTGTGTGTTGTGTGAGACATCACATACAAGTTGTGTGTTTGTGTGAGACATCACATACAAGTTGTGTGAGACATCACATACAAGTTGTGTGTTGTGTGAGACATCACATACAAGTTGTGTGTTGTGTGAGACATCACATACAAGTTGTGTGTTGTGTGAGACATCACATACAAGTTGTGTGTTGTGTGAGACATCACATACAAGTTGTGTGAGACATCACATACAAGTTGTGTGTTTGTGTGAGACATCACATACATGTTGTGTGTTTGTGTGAGACATCACATACATGTTGTGTGTTTGTGTGAGACATCACATACATGTTGTGTGTTGTGTGAGACATCACATACAAGTTGTGTGAGGCATCCCATACAAGTTGTGTGTTGTGTGAGACATCACATACAAGTTGTGTGTTGTGTGAGACATCACATACAAGTTGTGTGTTGTGTGAGACATCACATACAAGTTGTGTGTTGTGTGAGACATCACATACAAGTTGTGTGAGGCATCACATACAAGTTGTGTGTTGTGTGAGACATCACATACAAGTTGTGTGTTGTGTGAGACATCACATACAAGTTGTGTGTTGTGTGAGACATCACATACAAGTTGTGTGTTGTGTGAGACATCACATACATGTTGTGTGTTGTGTGAGACATCACATACAAGTTGTGTGTTGTGTGAGACATCACATACAAGTTGTGTGAGACATCACATACAAGTTGTGTGTTTGTGTGAGACATCACATACATGTTGTGTGTTTGTGTGAGACATCACATACATGTTGTGTGTTTGTGTGAGACATCACATACAAGTTGTGTGAGACATCCCATACAAGTTGTGTGAGACATCACATACAAGTTGTGTGAGGCATCGCATACAATTCTGTGCTGGCCCAATACAAGGCTGAGACAAAACAAACTCTAGAACTCTTTTAAAAGGAACACTCTAGAAACTTGTAACAAAAATGTTTGAACTTAGGTTCTGCATCTACACACGTATGCCTTATTTTTAAAAAATGAGAAAAAAAACAAAATGCATTAAATTTTTTATGGAACTCTATACCTGACGGGACCTGACAGGACCTGACTCTTGTAAATATGATGCCGCTTGTAGGAGACCACTTCACCTGGATCAGGTCTTTGAACTTACTGCAGCCTTCTTACAATTACTGAGCTCTGTGTGTTGGGGTTTGCTGTGAGAGAGTTTACCTTGATAGGGTTCACTGTGAGAGGGTTCACCTTTTCAATACAATCATCACCCACTGTTGGCTTTCCTCAACCAATATCCACTAACTTAAGTTAACACTTGATCGCAGACATCATAATATATTCAACAAGATACTAATGCTTCCTACTTTAGTCTTTATTCAGAACATCAATCTACATCAACAACATAACCCCAACTTACTTCTTCAATTACTAGCCCCTAACTCCTATCTTACGTTCTATATCAACAACGTTCTTTCTACCTTATACGTCACTATCTCATTTTTTGTAACATTTTATACACAGTGAAATCCTATGAAATAAGCAAATAGAATCTCCTAAATAAAATCTTGTCAAGAATAAATTAGATTTTCAAAAGTATTTCATGGTAAAAACTTCTTGAGTGAGTTTGTTTACTGATTCCATTGACCGCATCCACCAGTCTGATAAAAAAATCTGAAACATGTTGTTTCACTTGGCTGCTGACTGCCAAATCCTAGCATAGGCTTGTCATATCTCTACTTTGTATTATCTTCAACCTCCTTACAATGTTGACAATATTTCCAGGCCTGCGTCAGAAACTGTGAGACCTGCAAGTGTTGTGGGCACCCCCCGCGCCCCAGGGGACAGCTCCCCTTCTCCGGCGTCACTGGCCAGCTCCTCCAGCAACAGAGTGACCACCAACATGTCTAGCCACAGCAGCAGCACCAGCCTGTCTCACAGCAACAAGGACAACAACGCCAGCACCACCACCTGGGTCAACGGCAGCACCAACGGCGTCAGCAGCAACGGTGCAGGGGACAGGGGGAGCATCAGCGACGGGTCAAACACCACCAGCACAGCAACACATCAGTTTGTCAGGCGGAGGTCAACGCGACATCGGAACTACATGAGTCGGGCACAGCTGCATGATGCAGTAGAGTTGCCCGATGGTTATGGTTAGTGTTATGTTTAAAGTAGTCATGTGATTTGCTTACTGGTCATGTCATACAGAGCAATCTATTAGTATAATGTGATCATCTTAAGATAAATGGGCAGTCATTTTCTTTTGAGCCAACTCAGCTCCAAATGGGTACTTGTCATTAATTTAATAAATTAATGGAAAAATTTAGTTATGCCTCAAGAATGTGGACCTTATTACAAAAAGATTTTAACATTTTTCAACAAGCCAAGCTCCCATCATCAAATCATGAACAGCTGTTTCAGCTTAGTAGTCAACAGCCAACATCATGTGTTGATTAGTGTAATCTATAAGTTCCTGTCTGTACTTTGTTATGTGTTTCCTATGTCTATTCTGTATGAGCTACTGTCTCTACATTCTGTATGAGCTACTGTCTCTACATTCTGTATGAGCTACTGTCTCTACATTCTGTATGAGCTACTGTCTCTACATTCTGTATGAGCTACTGTCTCTACATTCTGTATGAGCTACTGTCTCTACATTCTGTATGAGCTACTGTCTCTACATTCTGTATGAGCTACTGTCTCTACATTCTGTATGAGCTACTGTATGTACTGTGTTTCCTATGTCTATTCTGTATGAGCTACAGTCTCTACATTCTGTATGAGCTACTGTATGTACTTTGTTTCCTATGTCTATTCTGTATGAGCTACTGTATGTACTTTGTTTCCTATGTCTATTCTGTATGAGCTACTGTATGTACTTTGTTTCCTATGTCTATTGTGTATGAGTGTGTACTCACCTGCTGTCATTGAATGTTCCAGAACAACGTACAACACAGCAGGGCCAGGTTTACTTTCTACACACACGTACAGGTGTGAGCACGTGGCATGACCCACGTGTGCCCAGGTGAGCTTAGTTACCTGTCCATGTTGCTATATTATTGATACCTGTCTCTGTCACGTTTACCTGCGCTGGGGCTTCCAGTTTTATATTGACTACATCCACGGATAGCCCTGCTGGATATGGATATAGCATTTGTCTGATCCAGGTGTATCCGTTTTCTTGTTGTCAACATCCTTGACCTTTGCAATGCATGTTTGTCTAAGGAACAATAATAGATAACTCCATAGTTTCTAAATGCCATTGACTTGGCCGTATCATATTCACAACTGATACGACCTGCAAGTTAGTTTTACTTTTGATGTGGGGGGCTTTTTATTTAGTTGCATGTTGTATTAGCTCAAACCTAACTTGTGTTAAAGTACTTTGTGTGGGTAGGTGAGTGGTTCTTCCGCTGCAAGTTTTTTAAACTCCATATTAGTGGTGGGTGTCCAGTGTTAACTGGAGTAGTCTGAGCCCCTTTTTGTTTTACTGTTGTTTTATTTTTAAATTAACTGTTTATTTTTAGAATTTTTTTTTGTGAACTGTTGTGAGCCATGTGTATATGAAAACCACATGTGAATGAACTGTGTGGGTGTGTGAAACATGTGTATGTGTGAGTGAGAGAGCCATGCATGTAAACCACATGAGTGAACCACATTATGTGTGAACCATCTGTGTGAATTATGTATGAACCATATGTGTGTAAATGACATGTGTGTGACGTATGTGTAACCTGTGTATAATCCCACCCTGCCATTCCAGACAAGTGGAGCTGAGGGAGGAGGACCTCGGCCCCATGCCCGAGGGGTGGGAGGTCAGGAAGACCACCAGCGGCCGCGTGTATTTTGTTGACCACAACAACAGGACCACACAGTTCACTGACCCCAGGCTGTCCCAAAACTTACATCTGCTGCAGGAGAAAACTACGTAAGTGGTTCACGTCTGCTGCCAGCCTGGCTCACGTCTGCTGCCAGCCGCTCACATTTTATACGCCAAAGTTTTACTGTAGCTCTCATGAGAAATTATAGTTAATATGTAACAGCAAACACCAAAGTTTTACTGTAGCTCTCATGAGAAACTATAGTTAATATGTAACAGCAAACGTCAAAGTTTTACTGTAACTCATGAGAAACCAAGATAAATAGTGTAATGACAAACATCAATGATTCCAGAGTTTTACTGTAACTCTCTAGAGAAACCAAAGATAAATATTGTAACTGCATATTGTAATTAATTATTGGCAGGCAATGTGAACCAGAGCCATGTGAAATAGTGGACACAGAAACTGCCTGTCTTACTGTTCTCTTTACAATTCCTATATTCTGTACCTTGGTCTATTTATAGTGTTGAAAATAACAGTTTGTTTAAAATCATTTTATATTCAGTAAAATTTGATTCCATGGAAAAGTTAAAGTATTTTACTTGACATATCTTATGGATAACAAAAACTTAAAAATTGTTATTCTAATATTAAGTTTGTCTGTCCTAAATGTAATGTGTATTGTCTGCCTACACAAATTTAGTCTGTCCTAAGTGTAACATGTAAATCTGTTTACAGAAATTTAGTCTGTCCTAAATATAACGTGTATTGTCTGCTTCCACAAATTTAGTCCTAAATGTAAGATGTATTGTCTGCCTACACACATTTAGTCTGTCCTGAGTGTAAGATGTATTGTCTGCTTACACAAATTTAGTCTGTCCTGAATGTAACATGTATTGTCTGCCTGCAGAAATTTAGTCTGTCCTAAATGTTAAATTTTTGTCTGTCTACTAAAATTTTGTCTGTCTAAATGTAAGATGTATTGTCTGCCTACACAAATTTAGTCTGTCTATATGTAAGATGTATTGTCTGCCTACACAAATTTAGTCTGTCCTTAATGTATTGTCTGCCTACAAAAATTTAGTCTGCCCTAAATATAAGATGTATTGTCTGCCTACAGAAGTTTAGTCTGCCCTAAATATAACGTGTATTGTCTGCCCACAGAAAGCCCCCCACACAAGACAAAGAGAATGAACAACCCAACCTGCCCAAGTACAAGCGTGACCTGGTCCAGAAGTTGAAGATTTTAAAGCAGGAGATCACGGCACTCCAGCCCCAGACTGGACACTGTAGGCTGGAGGTCAGCAGGGAGGAAGTCTTTGAGGTCAGTCTGGTAGAGAGGAATTCTGGGGTGCTGGTCTGTCTTGGTCACTAGTGGGTCGGGAGAACTGGTGTATCTTGACACTTTATATCTAGGTCACTGGGTTGTCTGGACAGTAGATCTGGGTCACTTTTGGGTCATGGTCATTAATAGCTCTGGGTCACTGGTTCATCTAGACACTTTACATCTGGGTCACTAGTTGGTCTAGACAATAGCCAGTTTAGCTCTGGGTCACTCGTTCATGAAGATATTTTACATCTGGGTCACTAATTTGTCTAGACACTTAACATCAGGGTCACTTTTGGGTCTGGGTCACTGGTGTGTCAAGACAGTAGCCACTTTACATCTGGATCATATTAATCATAAGTAATCAAGAAAAACCTCATATTTGTCATTACTGTCTTTTAAAAATAATTTGAATGTTTCTTTAGGATTCTTATCGGCATGTCATGAAGATGAGGTCTAAAGAACTACGTAAACGTCTCATGGTCAAGTTCAAGGGCGAGGAAGGTTTAGATTATGGTGGTGTAGCCAGGTAAGCAAGGTCATGGTTATCACAAGTTTTGTTTAAACCAGCTGTATGCTAATCATGTGCACATTGCTGTTGATTGCTAATTAATAAACTTTATCACGTCAGGGAGTGGTTCTACCTTCTGTCCCATGAAATGTTGAACCCATACTACGGGTTGTTCCAGTACTCAAGGGATGACATCTACACCCTACAGATCAACCCTGACTCTGGCGTCAACCCTGTAAGTCATTGTTTTACTTGACACTGGTCTTTGTAGCTACTATTTCAACTTTTCTCTTTTTGCTATATGTCGAGCATCAAAAGTTTTCTTTGTCTTGAAAACATCCACGTCCAATTTTGTTTTATCACTGTAGTCTCTAAATTTCCACACATCAGAGGCGTAGCTAGGTGAGGGCTGGTGGGGAGGCCGCCCCCTAGAGCGCCAACTCTATGGGGGTACCAAGCTGGATTAAAATAAAACAGAATATTCTGAGCTGTAATATTTAATTATACACAGTCAAAGTTAAGAAAACCAACTACTACTAGTCTTTCTACACTGATTTGTTTTCTATATCGATTGTGTCATCAAAATAAAAGCCTCTGCTACACATCAGCTACATAAACCACATATTTCGTAACAATTATTATTTTGTCAGACTTGAATATTTCCACTTTGTGGGCTGTGTGATGTTTAAAATTATGTTTTGTCTTACAGGAGCACCTTACTTTAAAAATTGTGTTTTATCTTACAGGAGCACTTGTCATATTTCCACTTTGTGGGCCGTGTGATTGGCATGGCCATCTTCCACAGCCACTACCTGGACGGTGGCTTCACAATGCCCTTCTACAAGCAGCTACTGGGCAAACCTGTCACGCTGGATGACCTTGAGAGTGTTGACCCACATTTACATCGCAGCCTCTGCTGGATGCTGTAAGTCATTGTTTACATGTTGTCATGGCAACAGTGCTTTCTACATAATACCAAGACAGCAGTCTCTGATTCTGCTATAGTTACAATCTGCATAACCAGACTTTATATACAAACTCCTACAGTTTATCATCAATTTTTTTTATGGTTTAAATTTATCAGCTTTTCTGGTTCTGTATTTGATAAACTACCTACAATAGTTACCTTAGGCTTTATAACTAACTACCAATTATCAGACTGTTGAAGATATATCTTAATCAAAATACAATGAATAGAACTGTGAATAAGAAAAAACTATTTTTATATTCAAAGTAAAAATTAATGTAAGAAGTTTTATTTTCTAATTTGTTCTTTACATAGTAATTGTTTGCCTTCTGAATGTCATTTCAGCATTTTGTAATTTCAGAGAAAACAACAAAAAATGTTTCCGTTACAAATCTAATTCCAGCATTTTGTAATTTCAGAGAAAACAACATAGAAAATGTTTCCGTTACAAATCTAATTTCAGCATTTTGTAATTTCAGAGAAAACAACATAGAAAATGTTTCCGTTACAAATCTAATTTTAGCATTTTGTAATTTCAGAGAAAACAACATAGAAAATGTTTCCGTTACAAATCTAATTTTAGCATTTTGTAATTTCAGAGAAAACAACATAGAAAATGTCCTGGACCACACCTTCTCTGTAGAGCACAACTCATTTGGTTGTTTGCAGGAGTACGAACTGAAGCCAGGGGGCAAGGAGATGAAGGTCACGGAGGAAAACAAGAAGGAATATGTCAAGTGAGTGGGGGGGGGGGGGAACAGGACGGGTGTGGGGTCAGGTTTTAGGTGTAGTCTCAGGTCTTTAGTCTTCTTACTGTATCTCCTAATTCATTCATGCTGAAATCATCAACAACAATATCAAATCTGTTATATATCAATAGTCAACTGACCTTGTAGACCGTATCTTGACCTGATACTGAATGAACAAAACAATATTCAGGCAAATGTGATTTAGAGTTTTATTGGAAAACGTTTTGAAAACTTGAACTGACCTTGATTGATGAACTGACCTTGATTGCCAAGATAATGAAGTTTTATGTTAGTTTACATATAAAACACATGCTTTTGTAAGTGTTGATTTAAAAAGATGCATTATAGTTAAATTATTATCTAAACTTGATTCTGTTAAATGGGTGTTAGTGTCATTCACCCAACACTAATATCTTAGTTAGTTTTCACCAAGTTTGTCTCACTCACCAAATTCACCAAACCAGTCTCACACACCAAATTCACTAAACTTGTCTCACTCATCAAATTCACCAAATCCACCCCCAGGTTGTATGTACAGTGGAGGTTCATGCGAGGGATAGAAGCACAGTTCCTGTCTCTACAGAAAGGTTTTAATGAAATCATTCCTCAACATCTGCTCAGACCATTTGATGAACGCGAGTTGGAGGTTGGTCAAGTTTGTTTTATACTAATTTTATTGGCGGTACACTTTTTATATTGGTGGTACACTTTTTATATTGGTGGTACACTTTTTATATTGGTGGTACACTTTTTATATTAGTGGTACACTATATATTGGCGGTACACTTTTTATATTGGTGGTATACTTTATATTGGTGGTACACTATATATTGGTGGTACACTATATATTGGTGGTACACTTTATATTGGTGGTACACTATATATTGGCGATACACTTTTTATATTGGTGGTACACTTTTTATATTAGTGGTACACTATATATTGGCGGTACACTTTTTATATTGGTGGTACACTATATATTGGTGGTACACTTTATATTGGTGGTATACTTTTTAATAAAGTCCAATATTGTAGTTTTTATACAAAAAAATTACAAGAAAGTTAACATTAACATTGCTATAAATTAAATGTGTAAAAAATTATGTGAATACCCTTGTTCTACTCTGACCATAAGCCTATTCTTGTATTAAGTCCTGTCATGCCCACGTATTCCTGTATTAAGTCATGCCCACGTATTCCTGTATTAAGTCATGTCATACTCCAGGAATCAAGACATTTTGTTTTACCCAGTTGTTAATACTTGAGTATAGAAATCAAATATTAACACCAAAATATTACAGTACATTTTTTTTTGGTTAGTTGGTGATTGGGGTAGTTCTGATCCCCCTATCAGCACAGAAATCAAATGTTTTCAAAAAATTGTTAAACAATAAAATATTTATAAAATGTTAAACAATAAAAATATTTATAAAATATTTACAATAAAATGTTAAGCAATAAAAATATTGATACAATTTTTGTTTATTCTCCAGTTGATGATTGGCGGCCTGGGCAAGATTGACCTGGATGACTGGAAGAAGCACACGCGACTAAAGCACTGTACGGCTGAGAGCAACATTGTGAGGTGGTTCTGGAGGGCTGTGGACAGCTTTGATGACGAGATGCGGGCCAGGCTCTTGCAGTTTGTTACAGGCAGCTCCAGGGTTCCACTCCAGGGATTCAAGGCATTACAAGGTAAACAAAGTAAAATAATGCGAGTAGTATCAGCATTAACGAAATCAAATAGCGCTGGTGGTATCAAGGTAAACAAAGTCAATGTGCTGGTAGTATTATCAGGGCATTACAAAGTAAACTTAGTACCATTGGTACCACTGGCTTTAAGAATTCAAAGCATTATTCGGTAAACAAAGTCTAGTGGCTCAATGTTTTTAGCAAACATTTGGTGTGCTAGTCATATCTCATGATGATTGAAAGTTTTTGTTTTACCATTGAGTTGTGTTTAAATGAAACCCCTGAATTTGCACCCACCCCTCTTTCTTACAGATACATGCTTACATTGTAATCAAATATTGTCTGCTTAATTTTCAAAATTATCACTAATCTTGTACTCAAATTTCCATTCTTGTAATTAAATCTCTGAATAATTGTATTCAGGTTCTACCTGTCTAATTAAATCTTTGACTAATTGTATTTAGGGTCAACTGTGTAATTAAATCTTTAACTAATTATTCAGGATCTACCTGTCTAATTAAATCTTTCACTAATTGTATTTAGGTTATACCAATCTAGTTAAATCTTTGACTAATAATTCAGGTTCTACCAGTCTAATTAAATATTTGACTAATTGTAATTAAACGTTTAACTAATTATCCAGGTTCTACTGGTGCGGCTGGTCCGCGACTGTTCACCATCCATCAGGTCGACATCTGCACAGACAACTTGCCCAAAGCTCACACATGGTACACACAATTCTAAGTTTAGAATTGTTTTTATTTACCTCTTTTATAATTGTAATCTTTTTTTTTTTTAATAAATATTTCTTTATACTTTCTCTTACATAATGTCATTTAAACTTTATTTTAATCAAAAATTCATTCTGTTACAGTTTTAATCGCCTTGATATCCCACCTTACGAAAACTTTGAGAAATTTTTGTCCAAGTTGACGTGTGCTGTAGAGGAGACATGCGGGTTTGCTGTGGAGTAAAAGCTGATCATGTGACCTGCTGGTCATGTGACCTGGCTGGTCATGTGACCTGGCTGGTCATGTGACCTGGGTGGACTAGCTGGACGTATAGACAATTCCTGAAGTGAATGAATATTTCAGAAGTCTGTTGACAAGAGCATCGTTGCCACATTGGCTTGTCAGTTTCTCAAGTTCTGTGTTTGCTTGCTGAAACACAAAAAGTGTCGTCACTAGCATGATGCTACCTGCACCCATCACCTACCTTATGTCAGTCCACACTGATGACACATGACATTTCTGTGACATCTCTATAAAATGCTCACTACTATTTATAGAAAGATTCCTGACAGAGGGTCAAATACTCAGCTGGTTTCTGGCTCAACCAAGTTCAAGGACAGGTCATGACCTGCTGATTTTCCTACAGGCTGGAAACTCATTTACTAGCAGTAAAAAAAACTTGACTGTTTTCATTTGAGTGTATATTATTTAAATTATAAACCTGATAAAAATTGTAAACATGGTTTGAAAACTGAATTAAAATAGGAAATATTTCCTGTTTGGAACAGTTTGTGGTTTAAAAAATAGAGTTTGGATTTGAAAAAATTTCTGTGAAAAACTTTGGAGTCTGCAGCAACAATCTCAAGTGCGGAGTTAGCTTTGCTTGTGTGTTGTGTGAAACAAGTGCTGTGATGCCAATCTTCTTCTCTCCCTTGGCCTTCAAGAAAACAGCATTGCGGTTCCTGTGTATATTTTTGTTGACCTGGATTTGATTACTCAGCTGATACTAAAGATATTTTTCCTGTCATTTTGGTTTGTAAAAATTTCTGTGGATCCACCTTTTTATATAACCATGGTTTTAAAAAGTATTCTATAATAATCCAAGGCTCTTATGTGTGAGATAGACAGAAGGGTTTATATTAAAAATTAGGTCAACTATCAAATTATAGTTTTTGAGACAGAAAGTCAAAAATTGTAAAAATCTAAAGGCAAGTGATAATCTATTTATAGTTTATTATTTGTCCAAGTACTGATAATTAGGTCACCTTGTCTTTGAAACGGACAGTGTAGATGGTATTATTTTCTGATTAAATGAATGATAGTAACTAGACCTGTGTATATTTGTAAATGTTGAACACACCTGTAAGGTCTATGTGTGTTACAACACCTGGTTTTCTAAACGTGTTACTAACACATGTGTAAGGTGAACAGATTTTGGTGGGCACACTTTTATAATTTAAAATAAAAGTTCTTAGTTTATTAGATGGCACCCAGAGGATGTATTTATTTGATGTGTCTAATCTAAGACATGCCACGGTTGACTGACTGCAGGTAACTTCCACTGCTGATTGAATTTGGCTGCAGATGATGGTGGGTTTCTAGGATGTCCCTAGGTCTAGCAGAGACCATGAGTTTTTAGGATATCCCTAGGTCTAGCGGATGACCATGAGTTTTTAGGATATCCCTAGGTCTAGCAGAGACCATGAGTTTTTAGGATGTCCCTTGGTCTAGCGCAGGGGTCTCCAAACTACGGCCCGCGGGCCGAATGCGGCCCGCGAAGTCCTCTCATCCGGCCCGCTGAGATCTTTTTGTCCAAGGAAAAATCGTTTGTTGGTGATGGCTGAGGAACTTTGCCCAGAAAAATCAAATACATGCCTGGAAGAAACTGGCCCCCGAACTGAAATTTGATAGTTAATGCGGCCCTCGGACTGAAAAGTTTGGAGACCCCTGGTCTAGCGGATGACCATGAGTTTTCAGGATACGCTTAAGTCTAGTGGATGACCTTGACATTTTAGGAAGTCCCTAAATCTAGACATTGGCTGTTCTCTGCACTGGCCTTAAAATTCTCTAAAAGTGCCATGGATTTAGACAGGTCTAATCTACTTCACCTGCCTAAACCATCACACTGTAGTTTTTAGCTATTAAAGTTGAAAGTTTAATATTGTTAAAAGATAGTGTAATGTTTTCCACAGCCATGATTTTTTTAAAAACCTGTATGTAGCAATGTAACTAGATGTTCCTACCTAAGGCCTTCATCAGCATGATGTAGTGACAGGGTAATACCAAATGTTTACATGGAGATAAAAATGACTATCACTTATCTTCACCTCATTATTGCAAATTATTTTTTTGTAAACAATTAATGCTAATGTAAGCAGAAAATGTTCAAAGTAATTTTTGGCTCTTTATATAATGTAATGGTGCCTTAGTCATTGGAGATCCATTTCACCTCAAAATTTTATTTTTAGCAAATTCGCAATGTTTACAATTGTTTCAATATTTTTCTATTCACAGTTTTTAACCGTGTGTTTCTGTTACAGCAGTTTAAAATGTGTCATCTCTTCATTCAGAGATTTGGCCTGCAGGTTTTTTGTTGGGACCCTATTTTCCAAAATACTTCCATCATTTCTATAAAAATATGACTGTTATAGAGGGCAGCCCAGCTTACAGACATGCTATTAAAGTCTTGTTTTTTAATACTAGTATATTATGTAGACTAAGATTTACATACTAGTGAAAAAAACTTGTGTTTGTTTGCCAAAGACCTGCGTTTGTTAGCAACAGACCTGCGTTTGTTTGCCAAAGACCTGCGTTTATATTCTAGCTCACCCCCACTTGTCATCCTCCATCATCACACAGATGTGTTATATAGTTTTAAAAAATCCATAATATTTTTCTAATTAATATATGTGAATCCTGGGATGATGTATTATTGTATTCAGACATAATTTATTCTTTTAGCATAACATTTTCTTATTTCATCTATTTGTTGTATTTTTAAATCACCTTACATTTTTCAGTTTTATTAATTTATAATTTAATTATTCAGCGAAGACATCAATTTCTATAAAGATTGATTAATTCATTATTTACTTTAATGCATATTGCAATAGTTTTTTTTTTATTGTAATTAGCAATATAGTGACGTGGAATTCTGGGAAAGATATAGAGTTCAGCTAATTTTTTCACGGTTTCCAAACTGATTTTACCGGCTTATTTTTGTGATGGTTGTATGGCCATGTGTTTTTTATTGAATTGTACGAGCCAATTTTTTTTGTTAGGTTTATGTATTGATGGAAGCAAAGTTAATTTTTCCTGATTTGCATGTTGCATGAATGTAAAATGTTTGTTCATTGGCTGATCAACTCCATGAGTGCTGATTGGCAATCCTCTCAACTTTTATACAAACTATTCATTGTGTAAGATGATCTGTGTACATTTTCTCCCAAAGTATTTGACAAGGTCAATTGATAATTTCAGACACTGTGGCAGATTCTTTTATTTTTACAAATTAATGTAAAATTTGTCTCCCCTTACATGATAAATTGTGAATGTTGTAATTTTTGATAATTGATTTCTCATGTAGAATAAAGCTTGTACAACAACTAAACTTCTTTCAACACAGATAAATGAAAATGATTCAGTATTTATTTTCAGATATATTATAAAAAAAAACCTTAAATGTCATCTTGACTGACACAGCCTTTAAAGCTAGAAAGAAATGTGGTTTAAAATTGTACATGACATTAAATATAAATTAAGGGATTTAGTAAGTAAAAGCCTTGGTTTACAAATGTAATTAAAATGTTGAAAGACATCAAACTTTCCACTAAAGAGAGAATGTACCAAAAGTATTTCTAAATTTAGGGCACCCTGTATAATAACAGACATCCAAGGCATGACAGAACAATGATTGGGGAAAAATTTGTTTCATATCCTTGCTGCATAGAATGGTTTACATTTTCATGATCCAACATCTGGGTCAAGACCCAAACAACAACATACATGAATGGAAGCTTGAAGATTTTAGGTTTAAAAAAAGGGAGCTGCAAATTTTTTAAAAAGAACAATAGTTATCACATGATAAAACGGATTGACAACAACTATTAAAATGAAAGGTGTATAACAAATTAATATACAACAAATTAATATACAATAAAATAATGGCAATGAAGTTTGATTGTAGTTTACAAGATGCAGTTTGTTATTTCAAATAATTTAGAGATGAAATTTGTACAGCTATGTTGGCAAGTCTTGTGTGTGTATCTTAAGGCTTTTGATAACATTTGTATTTAAAAAATATTTTGTTAAAAAAAAATAAACTATAGATCTTTAAAAATATAAACAAACTTCATTAAGTACAAATAACTATTATAATTAGTTCTAGATGAATAGTTTTAATGACCTCGGCTTATAGTGTGGTCAGTGCTATGCCTTTGTTGGGTACCTGATTCATGTTAGGAAAGAGTTGGACTACCTACTAAGTGTCCAATAAATATAATAAACACTCATAGCGGAAGAAAGAAGTAAATATGACAGAATTTTGTGAAAAGCATTTTGCCAGTAAATCTTGCTGTCATCAGGTGAACTATTTTTTCAAAATTTACATCCTAGTTGCATGAAGACTAGCCTTGAACTAACAGATTAATAACAAAAAAAAAGTTGAATTAACTAAATTGAGTATTTGGTTTCTATTGCAGATGTGGGTATCCTTGATATGTCAGATGTATGTCCATTACTAGCATCTGGTTATAAAACCACTGGGATATTTAATGGCAAATGACCAGGTTAGCTGAGAGTGACCTAATCATCAACTCAACTTTCTATTTCTACATCTGAGAGGCCTTGCACTTTTAAAAAATAAATTTACATTAAAGCAAAAAACATAATAAGTAAATTTTTTATTTAATAAAAAATGAATTTCTTTTTTATTTGAGACTACAAGTCTGTTATTTTTGGGTATAGAACTGAACACACTGTACCATCATTTGCCGAGGTCACACAAATAGAACTCTTTGAAAGGTTACTTTTTTTTACCAAGTGGCTACAAAAAAAAGTTTTCACTATTTTCAAATATTTGGTTACCTAGAACACATTCAATTTGTATGAAACTACTAAATAAACAGAACCAAGTAGGCTATATGATCACATTTGTTTTAAGAACAATGCAGACAATTTAAAAAAAAACATTTTATCACCCCTTCAAGTTTAACCCATTTATTGTCATTTGATGACTAAAAAAATTGCTTTGCGTATTGACTTAAAATAACAGTTCCTTACTGCTAGAAACTGCAACAAATTACCTATCACAATGTTAATGCTTCTGTGATTATAATTAAGAAGTCGATTAAAAATATTTCTTTACATATGGGTCAGACTGCAACATTTATGAATACATGTTATTCATTATGTCAATTATTTGAATAGCATGTGAGCTTTCTTTTAAAAATTGAGGCAAATTTTTTTTTAAAAAGCAGACCCAGATAAATCACAGTAAAAAATATCAAATAAAAACCCAATAAAAAGACCCATTGAAAAAAAGATTGAAAGATTTTTACATTGAAACAAAATGATTGGTTAAGTTATTTAAGGATAAGACAACATGAAAAAAAATAATCTAAGTAGATTCAGAAGAAATACATTTTGTTCATAACAATATAAAATGGACAAGCCATGTCATTTTAACATATACATTATTTTTAAAAAGAAACAATACTTAGCCAAATTATGTTTTTGAACATAGATAACAAATTATTAATATTTAATGAGCTCTAAATGAAATACATACCAGTAAATACATTGAAATAATGTAAAGTAGTAAAGTAAAGTTCCCCTTCCAAACCTGATAATCTATTGAAGTAATGAAATAAAAATATTCTTTGATTTTTTTCTGTTTTGAAGAGTTCAGAAGGGACTAACTGCATTAATAAAACAAATCAGTTTACGTTCTCAACAGTGCATTTGATATGAATTCGTGTGGACTGAAACAATTATTATATTGCATGAACTTCATTGAGTTCTGGAAACAAAGTTTGCATAGTTGGAATATGTTCTTAGAAGTACATTAAATGTAATCATAACATCTTTCTTAAGAGAACATTTTAAATCATAATAAAAATACATAGGAAATCTTTCTGCAGCTGGTATGTGAGTATATGTGTCATCAACTCAATAGGTGTGTCGCCAGGTGTGTCATCAGGTGAGCAGGTGTTCCTGGCTTGCCTGCAGGTGAGCAGACGTGAGCTGTGTCAGGGGCACGTACTGCCTGTCAGCTAGTTCGTCCAACACCCTAGACACAGTGTTGGGCATATGGTCAGTCACCATTTTCTTGCTGATGATGATTTTATCAAAACACTCCGGCCGGGACCAGACTGCATCATACTCATGTTTTCTACTGCAATGACAAAAGTCAATGTTAGTATTTAACTGTTATAAAAGATTTCTAATCAACATCACAGGCATAAAGTACCCCTTATATCAACATCACAGACATAAAATACCCTTTATACCAACATCACAGTCATAACGTGCAACTCATATCAAAATTACAGTTCTATTACCATCCAAATTATCATCTTGAGAAGCAGATTTAAAAGTATGTCAACGTTCAGAAATGTGTGTATGTTATTACCAATTATTACCAATTTGTTTCATTGACATTTTTTAATTTTGATGACCTTAACTCAAGCAGATTATGCATTAGAGTGATTTCCCTTTGTTTACTTAATGACAACCGTAAAATAACAGATTCAGTCAGTATAATTTGGTAAAAAAAACTTGTGTAGGCTACGTACAATTTGAATATGTTAAGTAGTGTAGGAACTTGGGAACTGTGATATGTTTTGATAGACAGTATACAAGGATAGGATAGATTAGCTATGTGGCTACTTTTAGCTGAAGCCCTACTGTCCTATGGATTACTATGTAAGTTATATTGCATATAAAGATCTCTATCAACTGGACTGTTTTGTTGGTTATAGAGTTCCAGATGACATTGTTACATCATTCAATGACCAATGCCTACCACATGACGTTACATCCTTCATCAATGACCAATGCCTACCACATGACGTTGCATCCTTCATCAATGACCAATGCCTACCACATGACGTTGCATCCTTCATCAATGACCAATGCCTACCACATGACGTTACATCCTTCATCAATGACCAATGCCTACCACATGACATTGTTACATCTTTCATCAATGACCAATGCCTACCACATGACGTTACATCCTTCATCAATGACCAATGCCTACCACATGACATTGTTACATCCTTCATCAATGACCAATGCCTACCACATGACATTGTTACATCCTTCATCAATGACCAATGTCTACCACATGACATTGTTACATCCTTCATCAATGACCAATGTCTACCACATGACATTGTTGCATCCTTCATCAATGACCAATGCCTACCACTCATTACAAACAAGAACCAGACACCATGTGCTCGACCTACTAACCTAGTTTCTCTGATGTGTAAGATCTGACCAGCTGGATGAAGTGGCCATTCAGTCTTCCCCATCTCCTGTAGCTGGTGTTCAGCCACACGCAACGCATCCTACAAAACATCACATTTTTATCAGCGCATCCTACAAAACATCACATTTTTATCAGCGCATCCTACAAAACATCACATTTTTATCAGCGCATCCTACAAAACATCACATTTTTATCAGCGCATCCTACAAAACATCACATTTTTATCAGCGCATCCTACAAAACATCACATTTTTATCAGCGCATCCTACAAAACATCACATTTTTATCAGCGCATCCTACAAAACATCACATTTTTATCAGCGCATCCTACAATACATCACATTTTTATCAGCGCATCCTACAAAACATCACATTTTTATCAGCGCATCCTACAAAACATCATGTTTTTATTCAAATTTCACACAATCATCAATACATTGTTCAGTTTTGAGAGATTATTTTAACACTTTAACACAAGACAATTAAAATTAGCTTGTATAATGTTTTTTTTATTATTTTTTATAACAATTATTTTAAGACACTGAAAATTAATAATTGTAAAAAGTTTCATGCAAAAAAGTGTACCTTCAACCCCTTAGAAAAAAAAGCTACACCAGAGTAAGAAAAAACACAGATAGTTGATACACAGATAGCTGATACACAGATAGTTGATACATAGATAGTTGATAGATAGATTTAGTTCTACAGACAATGATTAGTTCTAATTAGAAGAAATATATGGTGCCAACAACAACCATGCATTTTGATATATTCAAATAAATTGTGCAAACAAAGCAAACTCAAATTTTTAAAAGCTAATATTTAACCTGATTCCTCGTTCTTTTGTCTTATTGTGTCTGTCATGAGTCAGAACTGGCAAGCCAAATGTCAACACTAATAACAAACTGATTTCTTTCAAAGTTGACAAGTAAGTCAAGGTCTTATGACAAATGTGACCAAATAATTGACTTGAGTAAATGTATAAAAAAAGGTTTAAATTAAGTATTAATTATATACACCATTGTTTGCTATAATTTGGTGTGCAATTTATTTTAGTAATGTGATTCTATTCCATAAATAATTTTTAATAATTTCCTTTTAATATAATAAATAATACATCCTTTTTTAAATAAATATAGTAAGGGTATTAATTACATAATATAATGATCCACACTTTTCATTATGGATTTTTAAATAGTGGTGCATAGATTTTAAAAGAAAAAGCATTTAATTTCCTTAATTTCAATACATTGATAAAAATTTGTATTGAAACATGTTTTATTAAAAAAATATTTTCAGTTACATGTGGCTTTGCTCAAGCAATTCATGCAAGCTAGTATCCAGCATAAATAAAAGGGTGATTTGACAATCCACTACGAGTAAAATACATAAATAGTGAATGAGAGTAGTATTCAACTATATATCAATAAAATTTAGCATGCAGTGATTTTTTTACAATTTTAACACAAATACAGTAGTTTACTTTAAAAATGTTCAATTTTTTTTAGAAAAGAACAAATTATAAGCCTATATAGTTGATAAGAACCAGCTTTGCCAACATTTCTTAATAATTTGAATTTAAACATATATATTGTCGGAAAATTAATTTTCTTTTAATCTTCTTTGACAAGGGAAATTTTTCCATTTGATTTCCTATACTAAGGTTAAATACATAATAATCTTCTGTTTTTGAAGTCCAGGGAGGGATAACTTGTCACCCCTTCAAGAAATCAGTAGTGCTTATTCCCCTCAATGGTGGATGAAATAAGCAACTAGCATTGCATAAAATCAGTCAAACTTCTGCTTAAAAATTCTAAAAATAGGTTTGCCTATACATAAAAGCTAAATATAAAATACCATTACCAAAAAAAAAAAAAGCATGTTTTTTTTCTTCTACCATTGACAAAAATAAGCACTTCCCACTAGAGATGTTTTGTAAATTGAACACACTTTATTATTGGCAGGGGAGGCTACTAGTTTTACACCTGCTCCAACATTATTCTGAAATCTTACTGAGATTTTAATCATTCTTGACTTTTAAAACCCATTTCAAATATAGAAACCTTTATCAATAGCATAAAATTGCTGTGTATGTCAAATCTGTAAAGCCCTTTAGGCAACTAAAGACTCTGAAACAATTTTTACAAGCAAGTATCAAATGTGACACCATTTTTACAACACTCAAAAAAATATCAAATGAGAAACTTCTAAAAAAAAATTAAATTCTACCTGCAAGGTTTGTCCCTGAAAAAGAAACATTTTTTTTTCATAACCTCAAGGTGAAGGTCACATGATTACAAGTCAGCTGTGTCTTCTAAGGCCTACACAGCAGCTAGACTAAGTTTTAAGAAACTAATTCAAACATCTCCAATGGCCAGTTTTTAAAATACTCATGTTTAATGCTTTAAGATAAATACAAATAGTAGCTGCAGTGAGGTTAATTCAATTAGTAATAAAACAGAAGAACGTAAATATTTTAAACTTACGCACAAAATTTAAAAAAAAATTAAATTTAATATGGTAATACAAGTATTAAATTAAAATTTGCTTTAAATAAAGTCCTTTTATTGGTTTTCAACAATACCATGCACAAGAATGCTTTTAATTGCATTCCATTTGATTGCTGGTGTTATGGGTGCTGTATGTTGAACTACTGGTCAAACACATTCAAATAAACCTTGTCTAGAGCCACACAGCCAGAAAACTAACTGATGTCAACTACACAAGATAGCCTGATTAAAACATATTTCATATGTGTGGGGGACATCAAGCTACAGTGCTGACCATTCATATGTGGACTAGCTATATATTTCTCATTCTGTATCATAAGACATGTAATAATAACAATGACATTCAAATAAAGAAGTTTATAACAGATCTTCAGAAGAATATACTTTTGAAAAATAGGAATTGTAATATTTGCAAGAGATGATACTTTCAGCATAAAATGGACAGAATTGTAGAATATTACTATATTTATTTAGAAGGTTTGTGAGAGAAATCTGCAGAGAAAAGATACCAGTCAGCACTAGACTGACAAGAATCTCACCTGTAAAAGGCTCCTCTCTTCTGTGTACCTGGCGCCTGCCCTGCTCAGAACGTTGTTTCTCTCCTCAGCCCTGCTGTCACCAGATGGTGTCAGACAGCACAGCAACCGCAGACAACCAGTGGCCAGAATTCTATACTGTTGAGGCCAAAATTCTTAGTTGTGCAAGCAAGGAACTATTTTTTATCAAATAAGTTTTCTAACAGGTCAACAAAACACAGATTAGCTATGGTAAGTGCTCACATCAAAGCTGCACTAAGGTTAACCTTTAAAAAAAAATTGATATTACAAAATAAATTTTTTTTTTTTTTTTTTTTTAAATAAATTTCAAAAATCTTTTAGTTTCACCAGTTTTTAGTAATTTTAATTTTTTTTACTAGTTTGTGTAGGTTGTTTTACAATTTCCCCAGTTAAACACCAAATGTTTTTGCAATTTCCCCAGTTAAAAGCTAAATATTTTTGCAATTTCCCTAGCTTTAAGCCAATTTTTGTTATCATCTCCCGCGCTGTAAACCAACATCTCTGACCTTAGGTTTGTTGGTCTCACAGAGAGCTTGTAGTATCTTGACCTTAAGGTCAGTCAGTGTGTACATCCCCAGCCTGGGGACAATGTCCTTGTCCACAACAACAGAACAGACAAACTCTCTGGTGTATTTGCTGGCACTGGCACTAGGGGAATAGGAAAGACAACTTTAAGGCTATAAATAACATCTCTCTGGTATATTTGCTGGCACTAGGGGAATAAGAAAAACAATTTTAAGGTTTATAAATAACATCTATCTGGTATATTTGTTGGCACTAAGGGAATAAGAAAAACAACTTTAAGGCCTATAAATAACTATAACATAGAGGAGCCTGATTGCATATGATAAAAATGTGTACAATTGAAAACATTACATTTGCAGTGATATATAAAATAATAAACTTATCTCAAGGATGTATTTAAATAAGTACAGGTAGTCAATTGAATTATAATCAGGACAAGGCCTCAGAACTATAATAATCCTGATTCTACTTCATTAGGACCCAGACAAATTATGACCCTGACTCTACCACATTAAGCCCCAGACAAATTAAAACACTGACCTCATTAAGCACCAGACAAATTAAAACACTGACTCTACCTCATTAAGCCCCAGACAAATTAAAACACTGACTCTACCTCATTAAGCCCCAGACAAATGAAAACACTGACTCTACCTCATTAAGCCCCAGACAAATTAAAACACTGACTCTACCTCATGAGACCCCCTGGTGGTGAGAAGGAAAAACAGATGAGATCTGGGTACTGTGGTCTCAGCAGAACTGACAAGATGGCGGCTACACCAGCGCCCAGGCTGTGACCTACTAGAACCAGCGCTGCCCCTTCCTGTCCAGGTCAAACCAAATCAAGGATCACTACAGATACAAATACTTCAGATATTTAAGTTACAACAAACACTTGAGTTAAATCTGCTTTAACATTAAATCAAGGATCACTACAGATACAGATACTTTAGATACTTAAGTTACAACAAACACTAGAGTTAAATCTGCTTTAACATGGCTCTCAGATGCCACTGGAATTATTTTGTAAAATAAAACCAAGATAACACTTCAAAATATCCCAGGATATCTTAGACAAAATACCCACAACAATATATCTTCAGAATTCTGTAAAATATTTAAATAATATAACATAAGTATTCTAATTCTTTGTACATAGTGTGGTTGAAAGTAGCAGTTTTTGCTAAAATTAACATTTTTAGATATTTAAAATATAAACTTTTTTTAAAAACAAAATGAGTTTAATGTATAAACTATAAAAAAGCAATATGTTGAGTTAAATATTGTTTTTTCCGCTCTGGGAGTGATTGGAGTGTTTTGTTAGAGCCTCGGTCTGACAACAATGTGCTCAGACTAACATAAACTTGTAGTATTAATATTAACTGACCAGTGGTGAAATGCTGCAATTAGACACAGGTTCAAAAGGCCAAAAATGGAACTGACCCTGAGTTGTCCGAATGCTGCTTCAAGAATGTTGAGAGATTCTAGCTTTGATTTGATGTAGTTTGCGCAGTCCAGCATGGCTGCATGACAATAGCTGTTCTCTACACCAGGAATGTCTAGAGTAGCTCCCCTTGCAGACAGGTCAGCTAAGGCATCCTGGGATTGAAAAATTGTAAAAATCTTTTACACAAAAAAGAAACTGAAACATGGGAACCTAATTAACAGTTAATTATAGTAAGTCACAAAACTTAATTACTGACAGAAACAACTTAACTACTGACAGCCTACCTTTAAAGAAAGTGTTCCCCTAATGCTAATGACAACTGTGTTCTTCGGTCTGTCCAGGGCGACATAAAATGGCACTTGTTTAAACTGTTTGAACATACATTAATATGTAATGACTTGTTTAAATTGTTTGAACATACAGTAATATGTAATGACTTGTTTAAACTGTTTGAATGTGCATTAATATGTAATGACTTGTTTAAACTGTCTGAATGTACATTAATATGTAATGACTTGTTTAAAATGTTTGAATGTACAGTAACATTTAATAGTATTTAATTAAATTATTTTAATACACAGTAAAATTTGATTAACAGCTGCAAAGTTAGCCATTTTCAGTTACATTTATATTTCACTTATCTCCAAATTCCATAGCAAAATTTCAGCTAATAATAACATAATTTACCATACACATCAACAAATAATTAATAGTGGGAATAATATTGAAATAAGTAACTTAAAATCCAACCTGATTATGAAAAGTGACATAGATCAAATCATTTTCATGTAGATGTGTAAGTTTTTTTATAGCTGCAGTATTGCACTGGCAAATGTTGTCTTTGAATATTCCATTAGCTTTACGCATGCATGAGCAGCATCTAGGGAAAAAGTAGTAATATGTGTACCTAGCTGTAACCATCTAGTTAAACAACACATTTTGGTGATAAGAAAATTATCAGGAACGCTAAATGATGACATACAGTTTTATGGTAACAAAATTTTAAAACTAAAATTTAAAGTGTACGATTTATTAACATTAATTCCATAATTATTTTGCTAGGTTTAGGTCATTGAAAATTCAAAACCTATCATAGTGTAAATTATAAATCAAAATACACAATTTAAAACTGTTAATTTGTTAGAAAATGGAAAATAAGCCAAAAGTACTCTTTCCCAAAAAGTTAATAAATAAACAGAAAAATATAATTGTAATGTCCATTAGGTGAACAAAATCTGAAATAAATAGCCTCAGCACATAGCTACCAGCAGGTGTGACACAATTTAAAGCATGACACAGCTAACAGCTCGGGTGGACTGGCAGGCAGAGCCAACAGGAAAAATCCCTGTGGGCGACCAAGAAAATATCTCTGTAGGCTGACAGCACTGGTACTGTAATAAGCTTGTTGTTGGTTTGGTTATTTTAAAAAATGTGTTAATTAACCTTTTTGATTTATTCTTTTGTTATTATTGTATATTGTGATTTATTACTTGACTTGTGACTCCGTAGGCATCGGTCCTTAGGCTGGGAAACTTTAAATAATGTTTAATGAAAATAAATGTCAGGAGTGGGTTGCTTTTATTTATTTTCCGTGTCTCTAAGACACAGCCAGCCCACCCTTACTAAAAGTGTGGCAGAATTAATATACAATTTTATTACAAAAAATCTGCTACTTTGTAAAATTAAAATCATAAAACCTATGTGTAGAATGATTGGTTAGGCAAGTGACAGGAAGTTAATTCAACTTAAAAGATACAAAATAAATAAAATAATAACAGTAACTAATTCTAAATTAAATTGTTAACAAAACTATCCTAAATGTGAAATAAAATTGTGAGTGTAAAAAATAAAGATAAAAAAAAATTATAATCCTATTTAATTTTGTTGCAAATACAATAATCACACAAAAAATATTAGTTTTTAAAGAAAGAAAAACAAAGGCAAACCAATGTAAATAAAAAAGAATTGTTTATTCTTTTTTTTCCTAGATATATGAAATCTGTAGCAGATGTAAGTTTAAGCAGGCAGTAAAACAAACAACAAACTAACACTGATATAGAAATTTATAATGGACATAACACCCACCCCTTCGTGAGGGACCGTAGGGCAGACCGGTATAACTGAATGATCTCATTCAAATCAGAAGAAAAAGCTCTAGGAATAAAATGTAACTGTGTATGTCAACTACAAAATCTTATCATTACAAAATTAGTTTTGAGCACAAATACTACAGGAATAAAATTCCATGTTTTTTTTTACATAAACTAAAGAACATCATAACAATAGCTAAAGAGAGTAAAAATCAGACTATGGTGGGTGGGTATCTTCACACATACAGAGACTATCAGTTAATGAATCAACCTCTTTATAGCTTCAAGCTTTAAATGGAAAAAAATTACTACACATTAAAAGCATTTAAAATTTGCAAATATTTAGAGATTTAAATTTGTGTAATGTTCCAGACTTTCATGAAGTTATGCAACTGTTTGTGTACAAATAAAACAAAACAACATACCTGTAGCTGGAGCAGAGGCGACAAGCACCTGTTAATATGTTCTGGTACAGGTAGAAAGGCCAGCCGTAACTTCCCATAGCAAACTTCATGTAATGGGACATATTAAATATCTGCAGACACAAATATTATAACTGATAAGATAGAAAGGCCAGCGTAACTTCCCATTGCAAACTTTATGTAATGGGACATATTAAATATCTGCAGATACAAATGATATAACTGATAAGGTACAAATGCCAGCCATAACTTCCAATAGCAAACTTTATGTATTGGGACATTTTAAATATCTGCAGACACACATATTGAAACTCATAATTGTATTCATAAATATTTGCTTTACAAGATTAAGACTCATAAACAAAATTCATTCACTACAACTGAGATCAATTTATTTACAACATTTCTTTTAAATCATCAAAATGTAAGTGCAACCTTTCTGTAACTTGGAACCAAAAGTTTGAACTATCTCTCAAAATAGAAAAGTTACCGTCATCCAGCTTTTGGGCTGACACTGAGAATAATCCCCTAATGGAGGGTTGGGACTGGTTGACACAGAATACAGTTGGGAGTCCATGTTTGCCTGTTTTTCATAAACCAACATAATCCCTGCTGCAAGGTCTGTTGGTACCAGGTCCAGCTCCTGCAAAGAGAATGGGATTTATGAGTAAATCCCGCTTGACATTTTCACTTACATTATTAAACTAATTTCAACAGGACAAAAGGTTCTCTTAGAAATCTAATTTTCTAAAAGTTGTTTACTCATTAGAATAAAAAATGTAACAATAGTTTTATGGCTTCAAGACTAATTAATGTTTTTAAAAAATGATAGCATTCCACACTTACATGAAAAAATTCTGCCACGAGTTTCCCGACATCTGTGAAGGCATTTTGTGTGTCAGGGTTACAGGCAATACAACAGCATAACACGCGACACCTAATTCACAAACATGACATTATGTTATAGAATCATTAACTAGACCTATCAGTCATACACAAAAAAACACCTAGTATCTAAAGGGGTAAAAGAAATAATTATAGATTTTGTAAAATATAAAACTTTTTATAAAGGTTGGCATTAAACTTGAGCATACACACAAGATAAATTATTATTTTATATGAGGCACAAAAACATTTCAAACCAGCCAAGCAGAATTATGGAGCCGGACGGGTAAACTAGAAAACAGATCGTTGACCTAGTAAACAGCTGTGTGGGTGTAAACCTACCCTTTGTGATGACCATTTTTAAAGCAAGTTTAAGTTAATTTATAGGGATCGTTAATTAACTTTTCATACTGGTATATAATAAAAGCTCAAACCTGTTTTCCCAAACCTCATTAGCTGCAATAATTGATCCCATGGTCAAACTTTCATCTGCACCTTGATTTTCGCTGCTAACAGAGTCTCTTCGGCTGATGGCTAGGGATCCTAATGGATCAAAGGATGCCAGTATTCCAAAGAAAGTCAAACAGCCAACAACCCAAGAGCAGATAACTGTGCCCCTCACTGTCCACACAACTGACCACAAACAAGTGTAAGAAAAGCCAAAGGCCCAGTATGTTGACAAACAAACCCAAACGGCTTCTGGGAGGAGCAAGAAAATTTTGGCGTAAAGTGGCCAGCAGATGAACCTTCTAGGCCATGTGTCTTTAATTGTACCCTAAAATAAAGGGGAAAAGAAATCCTATAATTTTACCCTAAAATTAAGGAGGAGAATAAAAGAAATCCTTTAATTGTACCCTAAAATAAAGGGGCAAAGAAATCCTATAATTGTACCCTAAAATTAAGGAGGAGAATAAAAGAAATCCTTTAATGTACCCTAAAATTAAGGAAGAGAATAAAAGACATCCTTTAATTGTACCCTAAAATTAAGGAGAATTAAAAATAATCCTGTAATTGTACCCTACAATTAAGGAGAGTAAAAAATTCTTTTATTGTGCCTTAAAATTAAGGAGGATAAAAAATGATAGCAGGTGTTGAAGTGTGAATAAAAAAAAACTAACTTGAATACTAATGATCATTAAGTCAAACATTTACCTTCATGCTGATCCTAAGTATCACCACTATGTTGATCAAACCTATGCTGTTTAGAACTATTGTACCTATGTAGAAAGACTTAAGGTTCTGAGCGTTGTCACAATTAAACCCATTTTGATGAGCAGCAAAGAAGACAATCAGAACAATTAGCCTGAATAAATAAGTAAAACATAATTAAAATAAGTAAACATATACAGGAATAAATCTACATACAAACTGTATTAAATAAACAAAACTAAAACAACAAAACAAAACCTATACAGGAAGTTTGTAAATCTGGTTACAAATTGTATGTCTACAACCAGACTTTGGCTTTTGTAAATTGGTTAACACCATGATAAAAATTATTTCTGGCTAAATCTTTCAGCTTATGAATTACTTGTACATGTGCTTTTAAGAGATGTCAATGTAAAACTCTTCAGAAAGTATATTTTTAAGCCTACATTAATATTTATTACCAGATGATCAGCCTTGAACAGGTTAATATATAAAGTGTTTGACAAAAATGTGCAGTTAAGAATAGAATTAAATAGAAATGAATTTTTATGTCAAATTTTTAAACCTCTCATCCATTACGTCAATCAAAAAAGTCAGACCATCCTCGTACTAGTACTACCATCCCACCCTTCTAATGTGTCATTTATGAAGAATCAAAATACATCTAGTTGAATTTGAAATATAGCTCTAACAAACTGATTCAAACAAGCCTAAAATATTTTGCAATCCTTGAATTTTAGAATCTATTTTTTGATATGTTAGATGGCAGAAATCCATTTTGATTCTCAGCAAATTCCAGGCATATTTTAAGAATATTTTGCCACATTATTAAAACTTTTTTAGCGCAATTTCCATTCTGGAGAATTGCGTTTATTAACTCGTCTTTTCTGGGAATGGATGAATGGATGGATGTGTGTCCGCAGCTTTAAGTCGTATCTCCTCCTCAACGAAGCAATATCGAGGACTAGTTCCAAAAGCAAATATGTTAAGCAAGTTACCAGGATGAACATAGGCCAAAAAAATTCCGGGTTTCTTTCATGGATTTCCAGGAAAAGCCAAAAAACCTCGAAAAAATGCAGTTTTTGGCCCATGTCTCGGCAACCAGACCACTTAGCGACTTGAAACATGTACCAATCGATTCCTGCCATAATTTAGAACAATATTGCCTAAGAAAGTTTTCAAAAATATCCTTTCGTTCGGCCACAAAAAATTAATTAAGAATTTTCAAAATGAGCGTCCTGTAGGCCTAGGATGATTTAGCGCAAAGCGCTGAGGTTCGACAGGATTTTACCATAGCGAATGAGCAGAGGTTCGAAAGGTATTTTTCTATTTTGTTTTGAATTATTGAGACTACTTTGTTGCATTATTTATTTGCTGAATATATGATTTATCTCGATTTAATTTACTTATTAATTCAAACGTTATTTTTGTACCCTATTAATGTATTTATAAATTATATCAGAGTGATAGGGAGTTACAATTACAAGGTTTTGTTTCGCTAGGCCTAATCATTTTTTCGGTTTTTAGCGCATAGCGCTGAGGTTCGAAAGGATTTTACCATAGCGAATGAGCGGAGGTTCGAAAGGATTTTTACGTAGGTCTGTGAATTCTAAAAAATTAATTAAGGAAATTGCGCTTAAATTGTCACTAGACTTTTTATTAACTTGTTTTATTGTAAGATTTGATTTGTATCAATTGTGTATTAATTTAACATTTTGGTCTCATTAAGGGTAGGGTGTCACCTAAGATTTTAAACTTCATTATTGTTCATGATGACTTAAAAAATTAAAAACTACATTTAGTTATCTTTAATTTGATACATATTTTATTTATCCGATTTAATCGGTAGCCTAGAAAATGATTTGTGAAAAAACTCGTTTATTTTTAAATGGCTAGCATGATAACACTGATTTTCAGTGATATGGTGGGTTAGATTTTTAGGAGTGTTTTTGTGACACGATTGGCCGTTCACTGTACTTTAGCAGAAATGTGTCATCTGCTAGATTTCTTCCCATTCAAATACAAGGCGGGCAAAATGGGCGGGCTTAGTTTGATGTTGCCTTGATCAAGTTGTTTTATAGGTTTTGCTTTTACCCTGCATGATTTTTAAAACATTAATGACATTAGTTTAGTAGATAGCAATTTATAAGTTTCTGTAGTTTAGAATATATTTTCAGTAAGTTTAGAGCAATACCAAATACAGCAATTCATGTTTTGCTTACTTTTATTATGTTCTGCTCGATATTCTCAGCAATTGGACAAAAAAAGGTACAAATGGCAAGTTAGCATCAAACACTAATTGTCCATTGTTAAAACTAGACCGGTATTGTTGAATAATACACAAAATTAATGATTTTAAGTATACATTTCTGAAATGACCATGAAACATTGTTAAAAAATCGGAATCACGATATCGTCGTTTTCGGCAGCCATCATTACCATGAGAGTGGTTAAAAAGTAGGTCAAGCGACAACCTAATTAAGTGGGGGAGGGGCTATAATAAATTTTATTGCTGAAATCTCTAGAGCATACACAGCTCCCAAACTTTCATGGCTATAATTAACTAACTATAGTAGTATAGGCTATAGTGTAGGCCTAATAGTAATAATAATAATCTTTAGAAATTTATAAGGCTAGATCTAGATCTAAAAATAATAGGATTAATAGGGCCTATGTATTTTTTTATGTATTAAACTTTAATAATAAACAACAACTAGATCTAGTCTAGATCTAGACTCTATGACTATATAGTCACTATAGAAAATATTTTTTCCCCAAGCTGGGAACTATCTGTCTGGCAAAAGAAATATCAAATAATCTATCTAGAATCTAGATCTACATCTAGATTTCAAAAGTTACGGAGTTGCAACAGTTAGTGATCTGATCTACAATCTACACTACTGACGTGAGTGGGTGTAGAACTACCTTAACTTAATTCTTAAAGAATTATTTTTACACTCAAGTCAGAAGTGTAGATTGAAGAACTCTGAGAAATGTGAGATTCATCAGAGATTCACTCAGATTGAGAAGAGTTTTATTTTAAAGAAAAAACGGCTTACCACGACAGTCTTAAAATTGTTTCTCCAAAGCTAGGGAAAACAAAGTCATCACTTGCAATCGCCCATCTTCTACCAAACAAAACTAGTCCAGGCATTATGTACAAAATGAAATGATGATCGATAAAGTTCAGAGTGAAGAACCCAAATAGTCTGACAGCGAATTACACGGGAACCATCTTGACTTACTTGTTCCTAATGATTGTATTGGATATTTTATCGGAAATTCCTCGCGAGCGACCAATCATTGTTGAGGTAACCAAGCAAGATGAATGGCACACATGAACTCATGACCTCTACTTTCGATTTCAAACTGAATAAAAGTGTGTAGTGTAGTGTAAAGAAAGTTGTTGTAACCTACTTACTTACTTACCAAGTTACTAGATCTAGATCTAGATCTCTACTTAACTTTACAACATTCAACTTACTCAACCGATTCAAGTTTAGTAATGAAAGAAAGAATAATTTAATAATAATAGACTAGATCTAGTAATACTATACTAGATCTAGTATTTATTTAGTTAGAGTCAGTTGGTAATCTGTCGTTTGTTTTGGGTACGTAAAAGTAAAATCGCCCGCGGCTATTAAAGCCTATTAATATTATTATTATTATTATTAATTTATTAATGTACGAAAAAGTTAACTCATTGTCTAGGCCTGATTAAAACATGATTACCACAATTACTAAATTAGTGTCAATTAGCGGTAGGCCCTAGGCCTAGATCTACTTTTTTTAAAATTAATTAATAATTAGCCTACTTAGTACCTTACCTACTAGATCTAGGTAGGACACTAGGAATTTTGGAATTAGGCCTCATTTACTAAATTTTACTAAATAAACTATTAATATTTGACCCAATATTTTTATAATAATATTTATACTCATTTTGCCTCATTTCAAGTAGGCTACTGTGTCTAAGATGTCAGCTGTAAGAAAGGACCTAGCAACTTTAATTTCCCTATTGAAAATAAGAGGATTTATAGATCATTCAGCTATAAAGCATAATGGACAAGAATACCTCATGAGTGACTATGGTCCACCTGGTACTTTGCTTCGACAAAACATTTTAAAACAGTGGTATGTTTCAAGTTAAATGGATATTATTACTGTACAACTTAAATGCTTGTTTTGTGCTTTGTGTGGTAGATAATTTTCTTAAGAAATATTTCATATAAAGTGTAAAGAAATATCACAGGGAATACTGCAGAGTTTAAACTTTAAAATAATCTGTTTGTGTTGGGACAGCAAGGTCAAATGATAGAGCTTACCCAAAAGTCTCGAGTTCAAATCATTGGTTAAGTCTGTAGGACATCCCTTACTCCACCCAGCTCGGATGAGTACCTGAAACACTTTAGGGAAGCCAAGGTGGCTTGTCTTAGTGCTGGAAACACTATACATACAGTGAAGGTCATTGAAACAGATCAACTCTACTTCATCCGCATCATGTGTCTTGGACATGAACAGGAAAAGATTAACATCTGTTTTGTAAAAATTAAACTAGCCTAAAGTTGAAATGCTTCATTTTTGCAGGGTTGCAATACTATATGGTTTATGTTATTTTTTAAAAAAAAAGAAATTGTGCAACAAAGAGCATTGGGGTCATCCATAAATGATGTCACGCTTTTCTGGACAATTTTTACCTCCCCCCTTCCCTCCGTCACACACCATCACAAAAAGCTAGGACCCCCCCCCCCCTAAAATGACATCTCACCTCAGCCTACAAACCCCCTCAAAATTGCTGTTGAATTTTTCTTAAAACATCGACATTTTTCCAAAATCTTGTCAGAACTCTGTCAACATAGAGTATTTTGATCAATTCCTATAACAATTTATTAAAACTGTTTCCTAAAAGGCGAAATAACGGCTAAAGCTTGTTTTCTAACATTGCTTTTTTATAATGCAAAAAAGTGACGTCACACCATTTGAACCCCCCCCCCACTCCCCCTCATCACACACCATCACAAAATTATGGACCCCCTCTCCCCCCTACGAGTGTGACATCATTTATGGACAACCCCATTTGATAATAATAAACTTTATTCCTGCATTTCCCTATTCTCTTCAATATAGCCTGGGAAAGACTAATAGAAAATGCTCTAAAATTTTGAATTACAGTCTTGCATTCTGGCAAACTTAGTATAACACATTGACAAGATGTCAACTACGTATGTTATGGAAATTAATGCCCATAAAACCCACTTGATTACCAGCAATGACAACAAATTCACTATCAACAGCAGTACAAGTCATTGATAGGTTTGAATACCTTTGTGATTTGTTGTCGATGAATGATTTTGCCCTGAAGTGGAAAGTAAAATCCAAACCATGAAAATGAGATACCACAGGAAGTTAGTTAAAACGTTACTCATATTTGGACCACATCTCGAAGGATGAGGTGCATGACAGGATCCAGAGGTCAATCATAATGACCTAACACGACTCATTAAAATGATAGATATAATTGTAAGGTCATGACACAAGGTTGTCAGGTTTAGCAAAAACTTTCCTACAAGACCGTGCCAGGCAGCAAAATAGAAAAGTTGGAAAGACGACATCAGAGAATGGAAGATTTAACATCAGGAAAGCTCTGAGGATGACGGAGGAGAGAGAGGAATGTAGCTGATCAAAAGGATACATTACTGATTTATAATTAGATCTGTACTTCCACTAAATATACTGATTTGTACAATAATTAAGTATAGATAATTTAATATCTTTTGAAACAAGTACTACACATGAATTATAGTGCTACTTTTAAAAACAGAAGATTTAATTTAGTATTCCCTAGATATAAACACATATTATTATGACTGGAAAAGTAAAAGAAAAAATGTCTTGAAAATGAACTGATAAAAGTTTATTTAAAAAATGTTTTTTATTCACCAGGTGGGATGCTGTGGTTTGTAAACAAAATAATGTGTATGCTGTAGAGAGCCCATTGCTCCAACCTTCAGATTGCACATCTGAGAAACAGATCACAAGGTCCAAACATTTCTCACTGTTATGTAATTTATTCATTTTTATTTGTAAAAATGTTTTATCATACAATCAAGGATTTTGAATGTGCATTCCTATTTCAAGTCTGTATGTATTAGTGTTTCACAAACTATTTGAAAGTAGAAACTCTACTTTTTTAATATAAAGTTGGTAAGAGGAGATGATGATCTTTTGGTTAAACCTGTGGCACCATAGCTTCTTTATTCAGCCTTCCACGTTAGTATGAAAATAGAGCTCGCACTATTCACTGCTAGGCTATCCTTATGGTGAAAGATTTTTTTAAATGTTTGCATTTTCAGATCATCAGATGAAGCAGTTTTAAGAGATCAGTTACAAAAAGGTAGGTTTAAATATTCAAAATTGTTTTTATGGTTTATAAATGTGAGCATATACATCTTATTTCTTTCTAATTCAACAGATTGTTCCTCAAAGTATCTTCAAGTATTAAAACTATCAAATGGGACATTACCATTCTCAATAGCAAGTGTTGGTTCTTGCTTTTCGTGGAAAGAAAACACTCAGACCACAGAGCCTGATTTGAAAAATTTGTTTTTTGGGTAAATTATACTTCAAAATTTAATACACACATGATGCAAATCAAATTTTACAATAACAAAAGTTTTAATAGTACGGCAAATATCCCTGGTATGTTCTGAGAATCAAAATGTATTAAATGTATTACTGCCATTTTACATATCAAAAATAGATTCTAAAATTCAAGAATTGCAAAATATTTTTAGGCTTGCTTGAATCTGTTTCCTAACTTCAACTCCCCCATTTACTGGCTAAATTGTAATTAAGTTGTAATATAAATTCATAATTCTATAATTGCATTATATGACTTTTTTTTGTAAGTGATGTTGTTTCAAATTTTGTTTTAAATGCTATTCAGTTTTCCTATTGACAAAAAATTATTATTAAAAAGTTTTTATATCCTAAACGTATCGATATTGCCAGGTTTTCTAACTACACACGACTTATTGTACAGAACTACACATCCCCAGCAAAATCCTACAGTGTGTTTGACTACTGGCTCCAGTTGCGGCTGTCATGGTGGAAACAGGTGGTTTATTTTTACAAATATGTATTTAGCTTATTGACTTAATGCATGTATTCTGAATTTAATTTAGAATACTTTTAAGCTCATCCCTCTTAATGAATATATTACAATTACTTGAAATACTTCTTAGAATGCAGGCAAGGCATGTAAAAGCAGTTCTTCCCCCCCCCCCCCCCCCCCCCCATTGCTTTTGTGATTCAACCTTGATCCTCAGTCTTGCCTAACATTGTTACAGGCAGAAAATAACAACGCAGTGATTATTTGTTGCATTGCTAATATTCCTCATACAACCTTTTTCCTTGCATTTTGCATTGGTTACTCCATAGCATAGTTAACAGTGTACCAAACTTGCTGATTTTTAAAAATCCGGTAATTGCATTACTTTTAATTCATGTTTTTGCATTTAAGAAAAACATTTTCCAGAATTCACCAAAAGCAACAACTATAATTTAATCTTTCAGTTCTCCAACAATCCTGCCAAGTTTTCCGTGATATCCGCCTCTAACAACAACCACAAGTCCACCAATGGTCAAGTGTCTACCCAGGCCTCAGGTGCTACCAATGGTAAAGAACAGTCACAGAACAGAATTATTGTGTACGAGTTTCCCTGGGGAGTTGAACCTATTGAAGAAGTTAGTAATTTAGGTGATGGGCCTTTTCATCATGTGGGCAGTGGAGAAATTGAAAAATACATGGTAAGTGAACAGGTTGTGGTGTCATATTTCTTGATTTAGAGGTTTAGCCAGGGTGATTTAGTTGGAGAAGGTGGTTAAGCTAAGGTGTTATATATTAAGTTAGATAAGTTTTGAGATTGTATATTATAGCAGTTGATCCAGAAGTTTAGCCATGGTGCATAAGGTTAAGCTATGATATTATATAATTATTTAGATAAACTTAGAGGTTTAGCTATTGTATTATAGCAGTTGATCCAGAAGTTTAGCCATGGTTGGGGCATAAGATTAAGCTATGACATTATGTAGTAATTTAGATTCACTTAAAGGCTTAGCTATTGTATTATAGCAGTTGATCCAGAAGTTTAGCCATGGTGATATAGGTGGAGAATACGGTTAAGCTTTAATGTTATATAGTAATTTAACTAAGGTTAGATGCGAAGCTGTTGTAATATACTTAAAGCTATGGTAATTGAAGCTAGTGAAGCAAGTCTTAGAGCTTTTGTGTCACATGGTATGATATTGTACTTGTGGAGTCAGGGGAATTTCCAGTCAATAGAACTCAAAATAAGGGCATCAAAAACAGCATGAGGAACTTCCTTGTGTGTGTATGCTAATTATTTTTTTATTAAACTAGCCTTGTTAAAGCTATTGTCAAATCCTTATCAAATCCAGTCTCATCACTCTGGTCTAATATGTTTTAATACTCCCAATGGTCCAAGATCATACTTCTACTTTCAGGGTAAAACAAGTGGAAAATTGTCTTGCCTTCCATATTGTATCGAGTGCGACACAAACATTGAATCTGCAGCAGCTGCTTGGATCATCGACAGCTACGTGGAGCGACCTATCATCTCAGATACCAATACTTCTAAAACAAAATTGGCCCAGGTATGTATTGATTTATAGAACACATTTTTATAGCCTCAAATAATAATCGTGTGAAATGAAAAAGCACTTGCATTTGAGGATTAACAATGTAACAGCTGTTAATATTTGATAAACCTAATGTTTCAGATTTGTTGAATGGTGAGGCATAGTACAAATAGATGGTGTATTGTGTTACATATTTAATGAAGTTTAAAAAAACTAGTATCATTGAAATTAAAGTTACAAAGCGACTGCTTCTTACCATCAAGAAACCACCTGGTTACGAGTTTTTAGCACATCTGGATGATTTTGAGTTGTATTCACAAAATACTGGTAACCGTGTTTGTTAAGGGTCAGTTGAGGTCAGGTTAGAATACGGTAGAATAGTCTCGAACTTAGGGGAGAGTGCTTGTGTGAGTTGAGTTCACCCTAGAATATTGTTAACCCCGGTGTGTTTATGTATTGTTATCCCAAGGTCGAATGCGGTATAAAAGCGGGAGTGAATGATTATCAGGGGTTAGTTTCTAGCGATTAGGACGAGGGCTACGCATGAAAGTATTTGAGACGGAATAAAAGTAACAAACGTAGTCACGAAGAGTTGTCCTTTATTTGAAACCAACGCAGAACGTAACAATGTTGATTATTTTGTTTGACATTCTTCTTCCTCGTTCTTAATTTTAGTGTTGGAAGAGATCCCCCTCCAACACAATTAAGTATAACGTGTTAACTGGTTATGCGCCATATCATTGACTCTGATTTCAGCCTGCTTTTCTTTTTGGATTTGCTTCCATAGCCCTTGTCCAACCAAGAACAAACTACAAGGCAGTAGTTGTTTGATTTTGAGTTGTCTCTCCTAGAAGAGTGGCTGTCAACAACTAAAGAGCCTCATCTGCCCGAGGGTTCGAACTCAAAACTTTGGTTTAGAAATCCTGAGCTTTACCGACTTGACCCCGTTTAACATTTAAATTTTCATAGCTTTGGCAGTTATCCTGTTCACCGAATTATAGTTTTGAGGAAAGTGGCGAGTTTTTTTTTAAAAGAAGTTTATAGAAAGTAATTTAGACTTAATCTTATAAACTCATTATTGTGTCTTTTGAAGGTTCTCAAGCTTCACTCTAAAATAGCACCCTATCAAGTTTCATTAGCTGTCCAGACATCACCAGTATCCAATGAGCTACGTCATATATGTACTCACTTAGAAAAGGAATTTAAAAAAGCCAACATTTCATTATTTAATGCATCTGATCACGGAAGCACAATTGATGCACATTTTAAAAGGTGGGTTATTATAATTATCCAGTAACTATTCCCATGTTCAGCATACACATTTGAAAAAGACTATGTTTGCAGAAATGATCAACTTGGAATCCCCTACACTGTGATTGTTAATGAACGTACCCCCACAGATGGACTTGTAGTTACACGCCACAGAGACACCCAGATACAGGTAGGGGGATTCATTGCAACACATTATTTATATAAAGATTTACTTATGTAATAATTGGTCTCTTCAATTCATCAATCAGGTCATTATAATTTTCTTTGAAATGTCTCTTTTAATTTTTTTTTTCAATAGGTACCTTCACATATGACAGAAATAGTTAATGATTTGAAGCATAATCTGGATGCTCAATTGGTGCACTAAAATAAATAATTTAAAATCTAGTGTTTGTTATTTTCACTCATTTTAAAAAGAAGTTAAACTGTGTGGAAGGAAATTATGTATATGATGTGAAAGAAATCTTCAACACTTCATCTGTCAATAACTAAATGGCACTCATCTGATCACAAACATTATGTATATGAAAATGCTTATTTAATTACCATATCCAGCCAGAAATTCAATGATAAAAGTGATTCAAGTATTCAAAATAAAACTACAAAAGTTTGAGGAAACCCCTGTTAGGTAAAAGAAAGAAGAAACATGCCCACCACTTGTTACTTTCGTAAGAAATAAGCTTGAAAAAAGTAATTAGTCCACATGAAAATGTTAAATATTTTAATTATACATTATGTAACAATAAATTCAATAATGGGTACTAACGCCACAATTACCAGCCAAAACTCTCCCTTTGAGAAATAGGCAATAAAAACTAAATTCCACCATGCATTCAGCTTATGCATGCATCATTCAACCTTTGCTTGCAGATAGTGCTACACACAATATACAGACATTTTAAGATGCATTTAAGGTAAAAATCAGACTAGGTCAGTATCAAAACATGCAAGTGTAAGATCTGACCCAGTTTTTGAACATGTTGGTTTTCTTCATGAATATGATGCTCTTAAAAACAGTAATGGGACCCTCTAAGAGCAATATACTGAACAGATGGCATCAAACACAAAAAGTACAACTTAGTAATGAGAACCAAGCTGACACTAACCCCCACATTTGTTGAAATAAACAGACATTCCCTCTTGCAGTCTGGTTAACTAGCCAATGTTATGTTATGGATGTAGATGCTTGGGCATGTCCATGATACAGACATAATCAATGTTAGCAAACACCTAACCCCAAAGAAATACTTGCAGAAAGTAAAAATGTTATATTTACAAATGAGAATTAAAAAAACTCATCTAGCTAGTAACACAAATAAATATTAACATACAAATTCATGCATATTGTACAGGACAATGTACAAGAAAACATTCAGATTCATTCATTAAAAGCGTTAGAGAATTCCACAGCTTTTCATATAGAATTCTTACGTTCTATAAAATGATAACTTAAAATAATTTTACTATAACAAAATACAAAACTGAAAAAAATCATCTCAATGATTACTTACTTTAGCCAGATATATTTATTAGATGACAGTTTGCATTCAATAGCAGATCGTACATTGAAGAAAAAAACTAACCTAAATAAAGTTTGTTCCAATTTGACATACAACTTAAAGATATTTAAGATAGCATGGTAGTGCCAGACAACAGTAGTTTAAAGAGTAAATAAAATTTTACCAATATAACTGCTCATTTGACTTAGATTTATGGACACAAATTTACAGTTAACTACTACAGTTTGCTATTTCAAATGTTGATGTTTTCCACATCAAGTTGTCTAGTATATATAGCTAAATACTGAAAAAATATCACATAACAGAACTAATATGTAAAAACCACATTTTTAAGATGAAAAAATGTGATGACAATGGCTGCTAGATATGAACTCAATTTAAGTGTTATATTTGTAATTTACTTCTTGTATTCAATATTCATGTATAGTGTGAAATAATCCTAAAAAAAAATCAAAACTAATATCTTTAAAAAAAAAAGACCAAGATGTAGCAAGTTACCAAATCAATATCCACGTTTAATTAAGAAGAGCCTTTTAATAATAAAATAAAAGATTGGCAGTTAAAAATACAGCACAGAAAGCAAAACAATTTTTAGCTTTGATAAAAATGTGAATACTCATACTGAACAAGAATACAAAACCTTCACTTTTCTCTTAATGACAGTTACAAAAAGTTTTAATTCTTTTAAATTAATCATTTTAAGAGTACACCCTTTCTTACTAAATACTAGTGATCAAAAGTGATAGTAATGTTTCAAACTAAAGTGTTCCAACTGTCAGTGGACCCTGAAATCTTTAACTTCCTTGATAATAGATGACTGCACAGGTTGGACTTATACTACTTCTATGCTGGTAAGCTGAGCTTCTTTCCTTTCAAAACTGAAATGAAATATAACAATATTTGTACTATCCATTTCTTTATTGTTGGGTGGTGTTTTCAAACTGTCAAATGTACTGTTGATGCAGTAGACTGGCTTGCCAAAACAAAAACCCATGAAGTATTAATTTACATGAAAATAGAGTGCAAGTATCAAATGCCGGCATTTTAAATTATTTTTTTTTTAATCTTATCTACCATTATTTTGATACATGATGAACCCATTAAAGGAATTTTAAAAAGGGAAATATAAATGTTACAGTTGTTGGGGGAAAAATCATAAAAATAATCTACATATTATATCCTTCACCAAAATTATTTTACAAATGAATAAAAAAAACTTTCAAGTACTACAAAAAAAGTACAAGACAGTAGATGGCTAGTAAAATACAACAAAAACACTAAGGTTCATTCCTTATACATGCAGCTTGTTATGTTGCTATTTTCTTCTAAAAGGAATTTTTATTAGTTAAGATTAAATATTCTCAGAATCAGCAACTTGTATTTACTACAAGAAGATTGTTCTAAAGTATGTTTAAAATAATAGGGTTGACACTGGTGCTGTCATGCTCTTGGTGCAAAGAATTCATGACTATTAGACCAGGAAAGATACTAGGGCAGTGATCTACATTCTAGTCACCCAACTTAAAGATGTTATAAAGGAGACAAATTAGATTAAAACAGTATTCAAATGTATCTTTTATAAATGGTAATTTTTCTTTCAACAAAAGCAAAAAAAAAATTATAATTAAATACTTCTTAAAAACTTCAGTATAACTATCATAATTGTCTTATTTCTGTTTGGCCAAAGTTAAAGTTGTCACTTTGTTGAAACTATGTTCCATTTCTTCTTTCTCCCTTCCCCCACGACAGGCATGCAAACCATGCATGTATACACACTCAATGAGTTAGCTGGATTTAATTTACAAAGTAATGGAAAACACCATGCCTTTTGAAAACATTCAACAGAATGTTTAATTTTACTATTAATCAAAGGTGTAATTATGACAGATACTGATGTTTTTAATGAATGCATACACTAAATCATAGTAAATGTTGGAACAGTTCCATAATTATGAAAAATGCTAATATGGAATCCTGCTATTAATAAAACAATCAGCAGCCACCTGGCTTGACTTAAGGAAATAACTTACCCACTTTCCTTGCCAAAACCTGAATAAAGATTTAGGTCTTTATTTCATTGTCCAACTTAGGGAATTTTATCAAACCCTTTATAGCTTGTGGCATATGAATGGCTATAGAAAATTTTAATTTCCCCAAATTGAACAAAAGGGTGCTGATAGAATAGGGAGAAAAGTATTTCAAAGCAACAGGATTTAATCTTTAATTTGCAGCATCTTATATTCAATGGCAATTTAAGATCCATTTAGATTATCAATTTTTGTATCTATTAAGTACAATAAAACAATTTTTTAAAAGTAAAAATTATGCAAAAAGTACTTCGATTACTGAACTCGAATCGCTAAAAATGACATTCTCTGGTAACTTTTTAATGAAAATATTAGCACTATTCCAAATAGCTTAACATCAAAGTAAAAAACACAATGAAGAGGAAAATCTTTGGACAAAAAAAGCACACAAGTTTAGAAAGAAAGACCTAAATCTTTTTTAGCAACATATAGCCATCAGCACATTGAACATTAAAACCTTTAGCACTAAAGATTACCTTGCAATTGCAGCAATGTTCCAAAGCATAAATTGTCTATGACTTACCTTTGGTTATATAAAGATAGAAAAAGTCACAATAGAGAATGGTCTGGACACAGCCTGCGACTACAGCTATCAAATCAAAAAACCCTTCAAAGTAGTAGCGGTACACCCAGTTTAGAATGTACAGAGCTCTGTAGGAACCTAAAATCATATTTGTAAAACAATTTTAGACCAATCTCACTTTTGTTAATTTATTCACAAGTTTTACTATTGTAAAATGACACATTGTTCTGCCATAACTATGTTGAAAATATAATTTTTTTAAGTTGCTATGACAATAGTATAGCCTCTAGAAAACATTTGCCAGCTGAAATACTTTCAGTGTTAATAAAAGGGGATATTTAATCTGTCCTAACAGTACAAAGTACTTTTCTTTATACAAAAAATTACCACAAATAAAGTCAGACCATGATCCAAGATATCTAACCATTATCTTAAGCTTACTCTAACTCATAAATAAACAGCAAGTCTACAGGAATCTCACCTAAAGCAAAGAGATAATGTGAAGTGATGGTCTCAGCCTCACCAGTCTTGCTCATCATGAACAGCTGAGGCAATATTGCCACAGATTCAAGATAGATTGAGAAAGTCCATAGAATCTAGTTTTGAATTAAAAAGTAAAAGGGATATTATATGCTTACTAGGCATGCTGCCCAGCTTTGCTTAGGCTTTCGAAAACATTGAGAATTTGAATGCTTAGTTAATTCGCCCGAGGGTCGGTCTACGACCTCAGGAGTTATGAAGAGGTTCCTCCGTGGACATTTTTTTTTCGATTTATAGCTCATATAAGGCGCCGGTCAGTCGAGGTCAGTTTTGACCCCATCATCGTAGACTTTTCGGCCAACCGGCCCCCGTGTTCTGTCGCCCCAAGGCAAGATCCTGCCAAATTTGAAGCGCCTGCGGCGCCGGGAAGTGCCATATCGGGCACCCGACAACTTTGCTTTATATATTATAGAGATTAGCAAATTGCATAGATAAACAAAGATTTCAATAAAGTAATTAAGGCCTGAAATACTTTAGTATAGAAATGTATTATTTGAATAGATGAATCTAGAATATCTAGATCTAGAATCCAAATAAATAAAATAAATTTTATGAGTTTAGGCCGGAAAAATTGTATTGTATACATTTCATAGTGTACGTAGATCTAAATCAAATTTGAATGAAATAGTTCATTTCTTTTTATTCGAAACACGGCAGATGACGTCATTAGTTAATGTATAAGCAATAGTGACGTCACAGTTTTATGCGTTCTTTTTCACATGTATTAATGCTTTTCCGGTTGCATAAATAATACTGTTTCTCTACATTCTAATACGCCTTTATTTTTTATTTTTCTTCTTTAAATAAAATTGTGGTTATACATTTAAAACATCTAACATATTATTTTCAACAAAAGTCCGTATAAAGTTCTCCATATATCGCTGCCGATTCTGACGTGATGTCCGGCAAAAATATTTTGCGGACAGACAGAGAGAGAGAGAGAGATGTGCGAACGTGGGGTTTTATATATTAGGATAGTTGTTAAGAATGGATAGTAAATGGGTTATCTTTTAATCTCAATTAAACTAATTGTAATATTAAAAATTAGCATACCTCCAATGCGCTAAACTCATGATTAACCAAGAAGGCCAAGCCACCAACAGGAACTACTAGAAACTCCACTCTGAAAGTGTCATGGTTTGAATCATACGTTGCTCTGAATTTGAAGTACATGAGATATACAGTCAGAAGAGATGTTGAAATGAAGAACACTTTCATAATGGAGTTGTAAAGTGATATGTAGGCAGTAAACAGATCCAAATAACGGGATGCAAACACCAGGGCAAAAAGTATCTGGCTCTTTCCAGATATACCTGAAAACATAAATATTAATTATTATGCACATAATAAAAATAAGCCTAGTTAAAAAATATCATGTGTTGTCTTTTTTTTTGTAATTATCACAATTTAGCAGTCTCACAACATTATTGGGAAAATATTTCAAGACAACCTCACTATTTGAATCCTGGACAGAATGTATTCCCCCCCCCCCCCCCCCTAAATAAATTGAGTTCTATGTAAATAAGTAGAATATGTCATAACCTGAATAATTGCTACTCGAGAAAGCCTGTAATGTCACTTCTATTTTCCCAAAACAAGAAGTATCAGACACTTAAGCCTACATGGGGTCACAGTAAATTTGCATATGACCACGGACGGACTGCTGCTACAAGGATTTCAAAATTAATTTGAGGTTCCCACATTAAATGAAAAGCAGTGGGAAATGGTAGGAGGGGCAGCTTTAAAAATTGAGGGAATTTTTAATTACAGACTACCATGTATGCTTATCTTCTCCTTGAAGCCCCACCATATTAATTTTCATTCACAAAAAGTCATGACTAAAACTGCCAGTGCCAGTTTCATCCAGCTTTTTAAAGTTGTATAGCCATAATGTCACATTATTAATTTAATGTGTAACCAAAAGTAACTAGATAGGCAGATCTAGAATTATTATCTAGACTCTAGACCTAACTTAATGCTGCAATGCAGGACAGAATAGCAGTTGAGTGTCCAACTAGATTCTAATTGCACTGGAGTTATGGACCCTGTCAAAATATTCTAGCAGAAGTAGCAGATAGATCTAGATTAGATCTAGATCTAGAATCTAGCAGTCATGGGCAGCCTATAGATCTTTCAGTCAGGTTATGACGTTATGTAAGCAAATTATGATTAGCCTAGTACTAGAAAAAGTAGTTATGAGCCCTAAGTAAACAGGCGGCCTAGTGAATGACATTTTAATAGCTTTTGAATTTCTGTTGATAAAATATCTGGTACACTAGGCCCTAGGCCTCTAAGTTAGCCTCTAACGATTGGCAAACAATGCAATTCAACATCATACATTCTAGATTCCATAGATTTAGATTCTGGCCCAGATCTAAAAATCTAGATTGCTAAATCCATGTCAAAGAAGATTTTAAAAATAACAAGATCTAGATCTAGATCTAGAAAGTATAAAGTTGTTTGTTAGATTAGGAAGCGATAAGTCAGAAAAAAACACAACAGAGAATCAGAGATGGTTAGGCCCGGTTAGGGGCCTAAGTCGAGCGTTGCTCTCTAAACAAAGAAAACTTTATGGAAATACTTACCAGCGCATGATCGCGTCTTCCACATCTTTAGCAATAGTAAAACTATTGCTAAAAGATGGGACATATCACCAATAAGCCGAAAAATATTCATTTTTGATAGCTAACCACTTCCACGTTCTTACTTTTCTTATTGAGGACGTGGCGCGCAATGAATTGTTGGTAGAAAAAGCCTGTACTCGTATTGTTGAAATATTCGATACTAACATAAATAAATACAATACAGTATTTTTTATTAGGACGTTAAGGACAATTAGCAGTAAAAATAATTTGATAGTTTAATAAAACTACCTATTAGTACTTATACCAAATGAAGTAAAACTATATTATTACTTGAACATTTCTGCTTAAACAATAAAAAATAAAGCAAGGAAACAATTCGCATTTTACTGACCGTCTAACCAACAGGTGCAGCTTGACTTAAACATATAAAAGACGCGGGTGGTCATGATCCCTATCAAGCGATACCTATACAATATACATGACAATTTCGCAGGAAGAGATTGGGCCTACTTCTAGATCTACATCATTTTTCAATAATGACCGTCGATTGTTGAGCGGTTATGCTACAAGTAAGAATAACCCTCTACTTTTCTACCATTTCCCTGAAAAAAACATAGATAAACTACATTAATAAATATAAAATGATGACACTTTATTTTTTAAATGATGTCTTTATTTTTAACACGGCAAATGAGTCCCCAATCAGCTTTTAAATCACGAAACTCATATGTAAACGGCGATTGAAATAAATGATCGATACTTAAATTTTAAGTATCGTTGTGTTCACGCCGTTGTTTTGGAAAGAGACTAGGCCTAGGCCCCACCGGTATTTCTTGCCAACCGCATTTACAAAAGAGTTCTCTTTGATGTGTTGTTGTTATTTCCTTTTTCAATTTTTACTTTCTCGTAAATACGAAGTATAGAGAAAGTCTTGTAATCGTACAAAAAAAAAAATCGAGATTTTTGCAAATCTTGACGTTTTACACCTCACTGATACGGAAAAAACATAATTTTGCAATCTTGTCCGTATGTCTATGTGTCTGTCTGTCTGTCTGTGTGTCCGTGTGTATCAACTTTTGAGCGATTTCCGATTACCGGAAGTGGTACTTTTTCTACTTTGAATTTTTCAAAAAGCCTATAACTTGAGTACTATTTCAGATAGATAAATGAAATTTGATATGTAAGTAAAAGATCTAATTCTCTACCTTCTGTCAAATTTGAGTAATTTCCGTTGACCGGAAGTACTTATTTACGCTATTTCCGATTTCTCAAAAAACGCATGTAAATTTATAAAGTACTAATAATATTGCGCACTATTATGCACATTGGTGTGCAATTCTTTTTTCTACGAGATTATATTCTATTTTAAAAAGTTTGAGTATTTAAAATGGATTAAAAATCATGTATAGAAGTCTATATCCCGAGTTGCCATCCCCCGTAGTGTCATATTAGAATATTCGAGAAAGTTTAGGGGAGATCACTCCCGGTTTATTTAAAAATAAAATAATACACCAAAGCCAATCTAACAATAAGACCGTAAAGTAAAGCTCCCCTTTCAGTTCAGACCTCAAGATCCATAAGGCAGATGCAGTAGAGTTCATGTTTCATGACCTCGACATATGAAGTGATGGTGTCGTCAGCACTATGCCCAGCCGCCTTTACTGGGCCTTTCCCTAACGTGAACAGGTGTTTTTTTTTCCAGACTTTTTCTCTCCGGGGGAGGGGGGGGGGGGGGCGACATTTGTAAAAGTTTATATTTTCTACATAGATTATATTACATTCCGGGTGGTGGGTGCGGTAGACGTGCTTCGGTGGGGGGGGGGGGGGAGTAAGTCGCCCCCCCCCCCCCCCGAAGCGATGAAAGAAACACTGCTTGTCCCATGGACCGTGAGGGTCGAAAGGGGGGAAGCGAACTAAAATTTCCTCCGGGTGGGGGGGGGGGGCACTATTAAAAGTATATATTTTCTTTATAAATTCCATTTCGTTGGGGGGGGGGGGCGATAGACGTTCTTCGAAGAGATGCCTGGAAGAAACTCAGGATGCTTGTTTACATAGTGTGTGTTTGTCCTCCTTTAACTCACCTCTTCAAATTCAACGGTAAATAATGTCGATTCCTTACAGGCCTAATAATGCAAAGCTGGGTGTTGTTTTCTCACGCATCACAGTTTGTCTTTTCGCTATTTCAATTTAACGAACCCCCACCCTCACCCCAATCAAGCGGCTCAGTGAGACAACAATTCAACGTATCTGCCCTATTGACCGCCAGCTAAAAACAATATGGTCTGGAAGTTGGTTGAAATCTCTATTCTTACTTAACAGCTCCTTTTCTATTTTTGGAGATAAAGGTTATGGTTTTTAAAAAGAATAATAAAAATATTGAGATCAGAGGAGGGGGGGGGGTATTTGACAACACTGGGGTTGGGAGTAAATTCTTCCAAAAACTCGGGACGTGATTATGTCCGACTTCTTTCAGATGCGTAGCGACCCTTCCCGGCGCCCGGGGACAAACTTTTCGATTTGCATCCCCCCTCAAACTTTCGATTTGCACCCCCCTCAAGATTTCGATTTGCACCCCCCCCCCCTCAAACTTTCGATTTGCACCCCCCTCAAGATTTCGATTTGCACCCCCCCTCAAACTTTCGATTTGCACCCCCCTCCCCCAAGAATTCGATTTGCACACCCCCCCCCCCCTCAAACTTTCAATTTGCACCCCCCTCAACCTTTCAATTTATTTTTCCAACCCATTTTGGCGCCTCTAAGGTCGGCGCCCGGGGACATATGTCCCTCTCTCGCTACGCTACTGACTTCTTTTAAATGCATGCGCGAAAAGAATTATAATTACACACATTCTGCAGTGCATTGGTATCCGAACTTCTCGACACTGCCGCTCCGTTGAAAAACTAATTATTTTGGCGCTTCCATTCACCCTCTTATCCCATTATATATGCTATATATTTTTTACTTTAATGTCTAAAGTTATTAATACAACATTGAACAGTTAAGAAATGACATTGCAACTTTCAAAGATGAAGTAAGAATATGATAACTTATGATTACGACGCAATCGTCATTCAAAACTCTTTCCGATTACAAGACGCGGCAGGTTTTGCCATTAAAGTTGCCAATTTTTCTGTGTCATCTCTTTAAATTTTAAGTACCGCACCCCATTCTCAGCCCCAAACTTGTGACTGAGGCTACTGCTACAATGTTTAGATAACAGGGTGTTCCGACACAATCATGAATCATTCACTACTCAAGTGTAAAACATCCACGCAATAAAGCAGACGAATTCGAGGCGGACTTAACGTTGGTGGCTTAAGGTTATAGACTCCACCGATAAACAGACTCCGACAATACTCAGCCGTATTTCTGATATCCTACACGAATAGTGAAGCCAAGTCTACAAGATGAGCTGATAGCCACCATAATTTACACGGTATATTTTAAAATAATACTTTAGCAGACTAGCAGACCTGCGTTTCAGAAATCTCTGTAACTTAACACTAAAAGGCGAAAATCAAAATACAATTGTGTTGCTTCAACTCGACGACTTGAACTTTGCTTGAAGCTGCCTCGACAATGCCATCAAACATCCCAAAGCATGCACAGTAAAATGTGTTGTCGGCAATGTAGCGAACTGAGGATTTGTGGGTGGGTTTGTGGTCAAATCTTCTTAACTCAGTTTTGACGCAGGCCTATTTCTAGCGAAGCGATGACTTTCAAACCTTATACTTTTTTTTTAATACGCACGCCAACATCTCCGACAACAATGCAATACAATATTAATATTTTAAAAAATCTAATTAGGTATTAAATTAGTAAACAAAGAGCAATTCAAAGATAACGGTAAACGATAAAACATACGGGGAAAATTAAAAATTAACCAGGTGGATAAGTGTTGACTTGATCAGGGAGTTGGTGTTCACAAATTTTGTTTTCGTTCGGGGGGGGGGGGGGGGCGGTAGACTTTCTTCGGGGAGGGGGCGGTGCCCCCCCTTCCCGAAGAGATGCCTGGAAGAAACTCTGGTCTAAGCTAATATGATTAACATGAATACTGCCACGGCACTGCATTCCTCACATAACGCAAACGTTGCGTAAGTGTCATGTAGTCACAATTCTGTGGATCAAGACAAGCACCATCTGCTGACAAGAGTTTGTGCACTCATACCCGTTTGTTACAACAATTACTTTCTAGCCTCTCTCACGCCCCCCCCCCCCCACTACTATCGAACGAAATATAAATTTATGTAAAAAATATATAGGCTACTTTAACCAGTCTGCCTTCCGTTCCCTGCGAGATTTTAAGTGTCCCCCCCCCCCTCCAAAGTTTCAAGCGCCTCCCACCCAACACCCGGAGAAAAATAAAATTGAAGTATATATTTTTTGAATGAATCTGCTAAATACGTCAGCGTTAGAGTAAAACATTTACAGGCTATTTGGTGGCCTTTTATATATAACATAGATCTATATGGATGTAGATATATACAGTAATGTTTCGCAGTCAACCCAACCCTCAAAAATCAACCGGGATAAGATATTGTGGATACATAATTTATATTGGCCTAGAAACCGATCAATTTGTGAAATCAAATGAACGACATCATTTATACTTAGCCAACACAGCTGACCGATGAAATCAAGAAAACCACAGCCAAATTGTAGAAATACTGCATGCTTTCCAGAATAAAAATAAACAATGGGGAAAAGAAGGGTACGTGAAGAATTTTTGTATCTATTATTAATTGATATAAAAACTGATATCTAGGTGTAAAAAGTGTTAAGCATTATATATTTGATAACATTATAAGTTTTAATTTATTTTTGAAAGATAATTGGCAATTTTGTCAATTTTAGTATTTAATATTCTTTTTAAAAACGCAACAACCTGTTGTCGATAACATGTCGGCGACTTCATTAAAATTAAAATAATGTATTAAAATTAAAGTAGATCTAGATTCTATGTTTCTTTCGTTTAAGATTAATTTTTTATTAGGCCTAGATCTAGCTCGGCCCAGACCCTAGGGCGACCTAAGCCCTAGGCCTAACTATTAAATTATTAATTTATTTTATTAACAATGTCAATAGGCTCAAAATTCAAAATTAAAAAAATACTTTAAAATACTGATGTGAGTAGTACGCCCTACCTAAAAAAAAAATGACAACTGACAACACAAAACTTTTATGCCTAGATAATAAATCTAAGTAGATATAATCTAGATCTACAATTTTTTTTTATTAGGCCTAGAGGGCATAGACTTAGGCCCACCGGTAATCTATCGTTTTGGGTACGTAAAATCGCCCGCGGCTATTAATGTACGAAAACGTTACCTCATTGTCAAGGCTGTAATAGAAGTATATTGTGATATGTTTGTGTCAAATATTATAGATAAATGAATAATAAACCTTAATCAATGGCTAAATATATCAATATATGCCAGAAATTAACTTTAAACAGCAGTGTCTGCAAGCAAGATTTGCTATATAAACAGCAGCCATTTGTAAAATAGAGTGACTTCCGCCTGAATCTCGCTATAAGTCAATAAAAATAAAACTTTAACAAGATGGCTGCTATAGTAAATGAGCATGGTTGCATCTGTTGGAAACATCGCTGGTGTACATTTATTACTGAAAAGTTTTAATTCAATTGTTTAAAAACAGGTACATAAATGAAACAAGGAAACATTTTTGTATTTTTCAAAACATAAATCCTCCTCAAAATGTGAAATAATTATTACAATTTAAGGAGTCACCTGTTTTTCACATTACAAGTCGCGGGCGATTTTACGTACCCAAAACGATAGATTACCGGCCCACCTATTATTAGCCTATTAGTCTCATTAGAGTCTATTAGACCTATTATTACTATAACTATTACTATGATAGCCTTATAAACATTTCTTTTATTTCTTAAGGGCAAACTAGGAAAAGCTGCTCGAAATGCCAAAGCAGGTCCTGCTACTGGGCTTGAGGAAGAAACATACCAAAGGGCCCCACATTCGTTTGTTTTTCACAGAGGTCATGTTGGTAAGACTGTCAAAGAACTTGTTCTGGACATTAGGAAAATAATGGAACCCTACACTGCTTCAAACCTAAGGGTAAAAATACTTATTTATTACATTTTTAGGGCCTCAAAAAATAAAAGTTTGGCTATAACTATAATAAACGTGACTTGCTAATTTTCAGCTTTTCCCTGCATGCACATGTGCCCTAAATCCTCTGACTGACTGACTGTTAACAGATTGGTAGTAATGTACCATCATAATTCTTTTTTAAATGCTGTTTGTAGTTGATTGATTTAGAGAAAATTTGTTAGGCCCTTTACAATTTTATCCTAAAAATTTCTTTCTTTTCTTGTTATTTTACTTAGTTTACCACTCACTTTTTTTTTGTGTATTAATAATTTTAAAAAATGTTTAAATCTTTAAAATAAAATGTACATGTAAATTTTTTCAGGTGAGAAAGAAAAATGTCATGAAAGATTTCTTAACAATTGCTGGGCCTCTCCACGTCTCCCATTTCATTGTGTTCACAAAAACAGATATCGGCACATACATGAAGCTAGTCTGTGTCCCTCGTGGGCCAACGCTGACATTTAAGGTCAATGAGTTTAGTCTTTCCAAGGATGTTTTGTCATTTCAAAAACATCCAGATGTGGACTCCAGGCTGTTTGCAAACCACGCTGTAATGGTGACCAACATACCCTCGGACAGTATGGAGAACAAGCTCATGAATATTACCTTCAAAAACATGTTTCCTTCAATCAACCCAAATACAGTAAGTTTACTACAAGATGTGAGCTGTAAAGTAAAACAATAATAGTGTTCATAAGACTAACACTGAATATATTCTAGTCAGGGTGAGGGGAGGTATTTTCTGGGAGAACCCAACCTACAAATCCAGCTCTGGTTATATTGTACTGGGTTTCCAATCCAACTGCTTTTTTCTTAAGTAATGTCATGTAGCCAATGTGAATTGGTAGGGTAGGGGCTTAATGTCAACCAGGGATTGAAATGTGACTACATGTTTTATTCCACGACACACAATAACACGATGACAGAAACTCCGTTTATTTTTACTTCTTTACCAATAGCTTTATTATATTGAAGGTTAGCAGATTATTATTATTTCATCCTTATTTCATATTTGTTGAATCTGTTTTTCATTACAATAATATTTGTGAATCGTAAAATTGTTGTAAGCAGATTTTTAGATTAATATTCAGATAGATATAAATTAATGAAAAGAGAAAGTAAGCCAGCCAAATGGAACCAGCTAAAAGAAATTTAAAAAGTATTTTGTAATGCGTTATTAACTAAGATATGCTAGGGTAAATGCCAAACTTACTAAAGTATTTAACTTTCAGGTGAAACTCAACAACATGAGAAGATCTGTCCTGGTCAACTACGACCCTCAAAGTAAAACTGTAGATATCAGACACTAGTAAGTGACCATTGAACTTTGTAACTTTTAAACTCCAGTTTTAATGGACAGTTTAACTATATTCTAATTGAATTTCTTTCTTCTGTTATTTATTAAATAAAACTATAGATCATAAATATATTACTTAGGGTAATTTCATTGTTGAAACAACTATTTTTGTTTACTAGTCAATAAAACAGTATAAGATCTGAGACAATGACCATTAAAATTGTTTTGTTTACCAGTATAATGAAAGTTACACCAACTGGGGTGAGTAAAGCCATGAAGAAGCTGATGAGATCAAAGCTGCCTGACTTGGGACACCATGAGGACATTGCCGACCTGTTTATGGAGAAGTAGGTCTCATCTAGGCTAATGGATTACTTGTCTTAGTTGTTTGAATTTACATCACTGGACCAACTTATTTACTGGTTAGGTCTCATCTAGGCTAATAGATTACTTAGTTGTTTGAACTGACCATCACTGGACAACTAATTGACTGATTAGGTCTCATCTAGGCTAATAGATAACTTAGTTGTTTGAACTGACCATCACTGGACCAACTTATTGAGTGATTGGGTCTCATCTAGGCTAATAGATTACTTTTTAATTGTTTGAACTGACCATCACTGGACCAACTAATTGACTGATTAGGTCTCATCTAGGCTAATAGATTACTTATAATTGTTTGAACTGACCATGACTGGACAACTAATTGACTGATTAGGTCTCATCCAGCTAATAGATTACTTATTAATTGTTTGAACTGACCATCACTGGACAACTAATTGAGTGACTAATTAATCCGTGACTTGTTCCACTCTCTCCAGAGGGCTGTCTGACAGTGAAGGGGAGCAGGATGGCCCACACAACCAGGTCACAGTCACACAAAATGTCAAAGGTCGAGGGGTTACAAGGAATGCTGTCAATGCTATCAGGTGAGTCTTTTTTTCACCTGCATTGTGGCTAAAGTAGTGAGGTACACAAGGTTTTGACTGAGTATTTTGGCAAATAGTCCATTTAGATAAACTGGGATGTAGTGTAGCAAATGTAAAAAAAAAAACTTTTCAAGCAAGACATGAGTAGCAGGATTATAGATTAAAAACATTCAAGAGAGGAATTATTCTGATTTGAGAACCACACTTCACAGCAAGAACTTTGTTTAAAATAGCACTTTGATGTTATTCGTGCATGTAGTATAGCAATAGAAAAACATGTTGAACAAGCACAGGTTTTTGTTAATATTTATCTTATGATCAGTGGTAGTTTAAATGTTTGGTAAATTATCATGGTTAATTAAACATTCCCAGGTTAAAAGAAATTGGTCCACGGCTGAACCTGACGCTGATAAAGATTGAAGAAGGTTTTGAAGATGGAGATGTTTTGTATCATTCATTGGTTGTCAAAACACCAGAGGAGCTGGAGGCCATCAAAGCCATGAGAATACAAAAACAGTAAGTTTGTACGATTGACTTGAAATGTGAACTTTTTTTGTAGAACAGTCAACCTTTGTTGATTTGCTGTGTTAAGTAAACCCATTCAAAAAGATACGGCAACTGGAATCAAACTTATTATTGATAAATTACAATTTTTTGGTGTATAATCTTAAGTATGTTTTTAGGTCTCATTGTAGTCAGGTTTTTTGCTCTCTGAATGGATTGTGCTATCTCTGCTAATCCCAGCTATTTTTACTTTCACAAGTGTTGTACCTGTTATGAGTGGTCTGCATGTTGATTTCTTACATTATCAAATCTGGTAGCTAGACTCCAAGCTTATGAGTTTGCAAACAAATGCTTTGTGGTGGTCTACTATACAAATTTTCACACCAGATTATAAATTTAGTACTATTTAATAGTTCACTTTTAAATTATTTTTTCAGTTTAACATTCGAAGCATTAATTAAATAAAAAATAATAAAATTCAAAAATTCAAAAAAAAAAAAACTGATTTAAAATTTCAGAAAGGAAAAGTTGGCCAGAAAACAGAAACAGGAGGCAGATGTGAGGAAAAAGCAAAAACTTAAAGAAGAGCACATCAAGAAAACAGAAGAAGGAATGAAGAGGAAAATGAAGGAGAAAGGTGAAATAGAGGCAGTAGATGAGGAAGACAAAAGTGAAATGGATAACAAAACTGGTACGTGACCTCTGTAATTTTAGTTCTAGTCCAGTCTCTTAACAGATATTTTGTAACAATTAACTTGTCTCAACTTTTTTTTGTAACGTTTAATTTGTAATATTATTTTTAAAAAATATTTTGTTAAATTTATTTTTATGTATATTTTGTATGTATTTTTTTAAAAAATCGTGTACTATTTAATAATTTAACTAATTTTAAATATTCTTGTTGTTACAATTCTTCAACTTTAAATTAAAATTGCTTTATATTTTGTTCTAATTCTGTATACCCTAATACAATTCTTTGAAATTCGCTAACAATTTATTGTATTACACTTCTCTCAAACAGAAAATGAAGAGGAGGATGTGAAGAATGAGGATGATGATGATGACAGAGAGTACTACAAGCAGGAGATAGGAGAGGAACCTGAGCCAGGTAACCAGATTTTGTTGAATTAATTCTGAAAAGTGTTGTTGAACAGTTGACATTGTCTTCTACATCTACCTCATTAACAACAAAAACTATGTTTTTAAACATTTTTATCCATTCTAATTTTAGTTATATTTTGTTAATTAATTAATTAAATATTATAATTGTTATAATCATACTGTTTTGTATACTGCTTGAATAGAACTTATAAAGTTGTGTGATTTGTCCCACACCCAATTTAACTTTGTTTACTTGCAACCTTTGGTAGGAACTGCTTACTAAACTTTGTGGCTATCTTGTGGACAACATATTTTACATTTTCTGACTTTTTTTCAGAAATGTTCTCAAGTAGTCGAAAAAGGAAAAGGGGAAGCCAAGATTCTGTTGCGCCTCAAGCTAAACGAGCTAAACAAGGGAAGAATGATTTTAAACAAGGGAAGAAAGATTTCAAACAAGGGAAGAGAGACTTTAAACAAGAGAAGAAAGATTTTAAGAAGGGACATAAGCAAGGAAGAGGGGAGACAAACCAAAAACACCAGAAAGAAAATAGATTTAGTGGAGCTTCTGGAAATAAAAAAAGTAAATTCTCAGTTAAGTTTCAGCAAAAAGACAAGTTTGATGGTAAACAAAAAGGGAGGAAGGACGGGAACAAAAAGAAAAGGCCAGTTCACAACAAGGTGAAAAAACCAATGTTTAGGCCAAAAGGCAGTAGAAAGCGATAGCAGAAATCTTGATAACTCTGTTGTTTCATCTCCATGTTTTCTATATACAGCATAGACAAGATATTAAACAATTACATTTTATCTTATGTGTTTTTGTTATTTTGTAGTTAAACAGAAGTTAACTAACAGAAAAACAGGCAGAAGATGCATCAAAATTTTTAAGAGAAATATTTCTCTTTACTTATTACATTTATTATATCAGTAATCAAATATGTATATAGATACTAAATGAATGCAACTTATAGTTTTATAATTTGTTTTAAAAATATTAATATAAGAATGTCTTTTCAATATTTTAAGCTTAAAAAATATAAGATTAGAGAAACACATATAAATAACAAAATGGAGGAGGTGCTAGCCTTGATATCCACTCTACTAACCTCTTCCTTCTTTTTTCGTTAATAATATTAATCTTCTGATTTTAAGAAAAATATATGAGTTTAGTTACAAACTTTGAAAACCATACTTGTGTCAATTAAGGACCTTAGTTTTCATCAAGGGGAGGCAATTTTGATGATTTACGTTTTTACTGTAGAATTATTGGCATCTACACCCCTTGAAGTTGAAGGAAATTTTTAAATTGGAATTAAATATGTTTTATTCTTTTTCTATACCTGCGCAAGCTGATTTAGTAATATTAATATTATCAACAAAATTACATAGAAAGTAAAGTTGTGAATTTTGTTTTGTGGGAATTCACTAGAATACATGTCACTGGGATTATAATAATTATACATCATTGCTCCCAGAGTATGTAAACAAAAGGTTGATCAAGCTTCACTCTGTTCATTCAACCGTGTCTTGTAAAAAAGTGCTGCTGATGCACTAGACCATCTGTGGTTAGGAAAGTATTATTTTACTGTCAACACACGATTTTCTGTTGGTCAATACAAACCAACATCATTAGGTTCTATTATTTGGTCTGGTTGTGTCAGACGTTTGTCATGTCTGGTGGCAGTCAAGTCATGTCTGGTGTCAGTCAAGTTGTGTGTCATGTCTGATGTCAGTCAAGTTGTGTGTCATGTCTGTTGTCAGTCATGTCGTGTGTCATTGCTGGTGTCAGTAAAATCGTGTCTGGTGTCAGTCAAGTCGTGACGAGTGTCATGCCGCAGTCACAATTACTCAATGTGAAAGAACAAAAAACTGCCACCACCAAACCATTGAACCTATTCTTGGACTTATCGATTTTATTTTTCCTTGAACGCCATAGAACGAAATTAACTGACCTCATACGACTGGTTTTAAAACTCAATAACCTGATTCAGCACGCACAACCTAACAGGTCTTTAATAAAAAAAACTTAATAAAGAAGTCGCTGAGAGTTGTCGTTCCTTGTCGTCACGGCCGGCTGATCACCGTGACAGAGGAACGAATTTCGTAAACCAACACTTGGTGATTCTCCAGTGACCCCTCCACTCCCCCACTGTCGCAACCACGCCAAAACTCGGCCGTGGTTTGTTTGACAATCTGCACACTGGATTAAATAGTGTATCTGTGATGTTTTAGTTACAAGACGAGGATACAGCGAGCGATATCACACGGATATTTTTAGATCGAGCTTTCCAAACGTCTGAAATTCGTAAGTAACTATTGATGTGAACTAGATCTAGAACATACGTGATTAGGTTGTCGAGGGTATTTCTTATGTTGATGTTCTTAAGCTAACATACTAACAGGTCAAACAGCAACAAAGTATGTATGTTTGTATAGCTTGTAAGTAGCACTCTTTCACTCACATCACTCTCTCTTTGTCAATTATTTCTTTCTTCTTCTTAATATATCTAGTCTAGCTATAGAATGTAAAAACTACATTTTTTTCAATAAAATATAACAAAATTGTATACACATAATTATATATTTTGTATGCAAAATTCGATTATGCGCAAAATAATAGTTTAATTTTAAAAATAAGGTCTTGTTATTAAGTTCTAATTTTAGAAATGATGAAATATTTATCAACCTAACCCAATGGCGTTAGGTTTAATCAACGTGCGATGTAGATTAATATTTCATCGCAGCGTGGGGGGTTTAGCTGACACGCTGAGGTGATGTGTCAGGGCAGGTGTGTCATGATGACACAGGCTGGTGAGATGTGTCAGTGATGTCATAATGATCGTTTGGTGTGTAGTGACGTTAGGCTAAACACCAGCTGAATGTGTAGTGACGTCACATGACGATTAATTTTAACGTGTGAGTTCGACAAAGGCTGAAAAGATGTTTTATGACGTCACAAATCAACCTGCTGTGCCATGATCCGTGACGTCATTTGTTGGATGTGTCATGACGTCATATGTACATTAATGTGTCTAGACATCACAACTCGCTAGAAGTATACACTGTGACAACACACATCGGCTCAAATGTGTCCTGACTACACACTTTACTTTAACACACCTCTGAGATGGTATCCAATCATATCCCCTTCCTCGCCCCGCATAAAGACGGCACACCACTAAACAAACACCAGCACCCAGGAAACAGACCTGCGCCAACCCTTCAAGTTATGTTATAATCCCCGTGTTCTTTCTACATAAACAGAGTAAACTATACACTAGTATAGACTGTGTTCACGAACGCACTTATTATATAGATCTAGGTATATACAAGGTACTGAGATATTTAAAGTGTGCATTTCTTAACGCTTGCTTCCAAGTTTTTTTTTAGATAACAATTTTCAATCAATTAAATTTTCATTATTAGTTAGCGCTAATGGATAGAAAGTGCGGCGTGTTTCATATTTCAGCCCAACTCTAGTTTTTTGTGTGACTAGACTGCATGTGAACACAGTTTAAACGTTAGAGCTAACGTTAGGTTTAAGCGTGTTTTATTAAAAGTGTTTTCCCTCAATAGTCGGTTATTCAGCCACAAAAGCTGTGTGGTAGTTGTAGTGTGGTATGTAGGAGGACGTGTGTAGGTGCGGGGGTGGGAGAGGGGAATCAGATAACACTAATCTATCTCTAGCTTTAATTATTCCTCTAATCCTGGCATTAGTGCTAACTATAAGATTACCGGGGTTTTAACAGTTTGTGAGGATACACCTAACTCACAAGTTTATGTTAAAGCTTATAGAATACACACACATGGTTAGGGTTGTTAGAATACAACCAGCATCAACGGAACACTGTTTCTTAAGGTAGCTGTGTTGTGTCTAGAATGTACTACACCTACATGGTGTGTTATACCAAACGTGTTTGATGATGTATGGTGTGTGACACCACAAATTGTTATATGTTAATTGGTGTTACACTAAAGACAGTGTAACCGAGGGGAATAATGTAATAGGCGAAGCGTGTTTGATGTTGAATGGCGTGTAACACCTGGTGCAAGGGAAACAATTAAACCTACCAGTATCTGTCTACTTTCTAATGAAGCCAGCACATCGCTGGGTGAAACAATTAAACCTACCAGTATCTGTCTACTTTCTAATCAAGTCAGCACATCGCTGGATGAAACAATTAAGCCTACCAGTATCTGTCTACTTTCTAATGAAGCCAGCACATCGCTGGGTGATGCTGCAGGGCATCTATTAATTAGAGCAACATTTACCTTTACACACCGCAAACACGGGACGTAGAAGATCACAACACTGGTGCTTAAACCAGTAGTCCCTTAAAATTACATCACCAGTCCCTTACTATATCAATCCATTCCATCACACCAACTCCTTCCATCATCATCAGTCCCTTACATCACCAATCCCTTATATTATCAATCCCTTACATCAACATCACCAATCCCTTACATCACCAATCCCTTACATCACCAGTCCCTTATATTATCAATCCCTTACATCACCAGTCCCTTACATAAACAGTCCATTTCATCACCAATCCCTTGCATCGCCAATCCCTTACATCACCAGTCCCTTATATTATCAATCCCTTACATCACCAGTCCCTTACATAAACAGTCCATTTCATCACCAAGCCCTTGCATCGCCAATCCCTTATATCACCAGTCCCTTATATAACCAGTCCCTTACATAAACAGTCCATTTCATCACCAGTCCCTTACATCACCAATCCCTTACATCCCCAGTCCCTTACATAATCAATCCCTTACATACCCAGTCCCGCACATCACAATTCTCTTACTTCCCTATTCCCTTACATTTCGAGTCCCTACATCATAAGTCCCTTATACCACTATTCCGTTACACCACTATCCCCTTACACACTATCCCTTACGGCGCCAGCCCTTACACCACCCGTCCCCTAATTATTCCCGCCTAATTACCACAAGCCCTATTGCCTTTGTCCCTCCCTATGCCCCACTACACACTGATTAGACTTCTGATAATTAGCTGTTGTCTTAAGACCTCGCTTGCCGAAGCCTGACATACCCAGAGATCATTGTCTTCGTGTCACTAGCCTTAGCCAACTTTGTTGTGTAATTTAACTTGACAATATTGTAAATTAGTTCACACACCGAACGGGTCTTTAATAAAAACTTATAGCAGTTGCTCAGAGTTGTCGTTCGTTGTCGTCTATGCGTATGTTATAAACGAAAATATTTGTCTAAAAGCTGTTCTGTGAATTGTATCTTATAAACGAAAATACTTGTCTAAAATCTGTTCTGTGAATTGTATGTTATAAACAAAGCTATTTAAAGTTCCAGACAGACACTATACAATAAAATGCCGACTTTATCTTCTAGCTGAAAAACATCAAATCGTAAATATTAACAAAACAATACAATGCAAGCTAGAAAATATTTTCTCAAAATAAAGTGACATTCTGAAATACACGTGGCTTATAAAACACACCAGAATTTGAATTAAAAATATAAAATTGTGCAAGAAGGAAATTATAACTCGAGTATAATATTTGAAATTCGCTATTTTTTTTTTCCAAACAGTGAACCATTATCATGTGGTCATGACGGAAGATCTAGTTGTCTTTGAGGTTATCCCGACACCTGACATAAGGTCTAGTTCTAGTTTTGTCTTTATCCCGACACCTGACATAAGATGTAGTTCTAAGTCCTAGTTTTGTCTTTGAGGTCACATAAAATTAAAATTGATTTTTCCCAAGACAACCCCCCCCCCCCCATTCCCCTGTTCTGCATTTTAAAAATGTTTGCAACACGCGGATAAAGAACCGATGTTCATTCAACGGTCGCCACAAATTATAGAGCGAATGTTTTATGCACGGCTCTACTTTGCAATAAACCAAATTTAAAACCGTATATGTCCCACAAAGACAACGTTTTTGTGAAAATTAAATATTCATCAAGAAAATTATTTTTTTAAAAATCAATTTTATGCAAGAATCAATCTCACAACTGGTAGAGTTCAAGTTAAGTAGGGCTTTGGTTTAACATAATTTAATACATCACACAGTCCTTAGAGGAAAAGATTTGCTAATCAACTTCCACGAATGTTCTAGATGTTTTAGATTTCTTGCACTTTTTTGTTTCATCCCAAGCAATCTGTATGTTTGTATGTATGTCAGAAGATACATGGCCGACTTTGGGGTCATCCATAAATGACGTCACGCTTTTTTGGACGATTTTTACCTCCCCCCTCCCCTCCGTCACACGTCGTCACAAAAAGCCAGACCGCCCCTAAAATAATTTCACACCTCAGCCTACACCCGCCCCCCCCCCCCCCTCAAAATTGCTGTTGAATTTTTCTAAAAACGTCGATATTTTTCCAAAATTTTGCCAGAACTCTGTCAACATAAAGAGTTTTGATCAATTCCTATTAAAATTTATTAAAACAGTTTTCTAATATGCGAAATAACGGCTAAAACTAATTTTCTAACATTGCTTTTTTATTATGCAAAAAAGTGACGTCACACCATATGACCCCCCCCCCCCCCCTCATCACACACCGTTACAAAATTACCGACCCCCTCCCCCCTTACGAGTGTGACGTCATTTATGGACGACCCCTTTATGTAAGCGTCATTATTTATGCAAGTGTATACACATACATCTAATTATGCTTTCGCTCGAGGTATTTAGCATTAACAGAAATATGGAAGTGCATTTATTAAACCAAATATTCATCTGGGTAAATAAAACCGGATTGGCTGATCCTAGTTATTTATCTCCCTTGTTACCAGTACTGATTATTGCCCTTTATTTATTAGCCCTTGTATCTGCCAAAAAGTTGAACTTTAACTACCCCAAATTTTACCTTTAAGTTGTCAAGTTCGTGGGCCAGCCCCCCCCCCCCCCCCCCTTCCCCAGACTAATCTCTTACTTAGCTTATCCACGTCTGATTGTTGCGCCTATCATGGAAGTTATGAATCGTCAGCGTATTAAAACCGGATGTATTAATGTTGCACTAGATTTTCCTAACCTCAGAGTCCTTAGTTACCAACCATCAGCATCAAACTCCACAGTTCATTGACCCATGCACGACGCCATCATAGCAACGATCTATGGAGATCTGCATGGCGATACGGGACAACCCCCCCACCCCCACACACACACCTCTACCACCACCCCCACACATGTGGTAACCAAAAGCTCGTGCACTGAGAACTAAAGAACATTTGTGTACCATTTGTTTGCCTCAAAGGCCGGCTCGTTTTACCTTAGGCCGTGTTCTCAATCACATACGTAGATCGATGGTTCTAGGTAAAGCCGAACAAGAGAACTATCTGGGGCTGGGTTCGATTGGAGTCGATCAATCAATTGATCAATCGATTAGTTGATCAATCAATCAATCGATCAAATTTCTGTTTGAAACTCCTGGTACACGGTGACCCGTACAGCTGGTGAACTAACGAGGCGAGTCGGGGGTCTCTCATTAACTGCTCGTTTAATTGCGTGGATGAGGCTTGGGCACTGAAGCGGAACGACGATTTTTTTTGGGGGGGGGGGGGGGGATAACTATATGTTGTGTACATGGTACAGTTACATATCACATATAGGGTACAGTTATATGAAATGGCAGACTTGACTGACGCAGACAGCTGGTTACAGTAGGGTATATATTTTAAAAACCCTTAAGGAATGTATCCTTATTAAATATGTGTATGTATGTGTGTATATGTGTGTGTATGTGTGTGCGACTAGAAACTCCATATTAGGTAGATTAGCCTGTCGCCCCTTCAGGGACATAGGCCGCTACAAGAGCTTTCCAGGCTTCTCTGTCCTTGGTTAATCTCAAAACTTTATCTTACCTACCTTATATATATATATATATATATATATATATATATATATATATATATATATATATATATATATATATATATATATATATATATATATATATATATATATTTTAATATATAGGCGCTTTTTAACATATTTAAACAATGCCTTCATCTTTTGTTCAGAGATCCACTTTGTTGTGGCTTTTTTCTCACCTAAACTAATAATGTATATGAACACCATATTCAGGACAACGATCTGTGTAAGCCGAGTTGTCTCCCCTGAAGGACCGATGTCAGGACAATGGGAGGACTAATCGAGGCCTTGACAGGGATGCTGATTGGCTGAGGTCACGTCACGTGGTCTACGTGAAGTGAGGATCACGTCAGCGACCCACGTAACGTGGCATGGCCACATCGGTTGAGAAATGGATGTGGGTGTTTAGAGCCGGGGTTGGGTTCATCCTGCTGGCAGGGTTGCTGTTCTTCATAGGGTTCGCCACAACCCACTGGCTGAGCGCGAGCAACGTGAACGTGGGGTTGTGGGAGGTGTGTGTGGGATCCACCTGCAGCAAGGTGTACTCCGACCTGCCAGGTGAGTGATGCTGTCAGTCTTAGAACAAAGTTTAGTCACGTGATGGTACCACACAACACGTCACGTGAGAGGTTTGTTTCTCACGGTGGTGGTTGATTTGATTACACACATAGGCTACTCGTATCATCGTTGACATGCTCACCCACACACATCACCCACTCCACCCACACCACCCACACGCATTACCCACTCCTTCCACACCAACCACACGCATCACCACCCACACGCATCACCCACACCATTCACACACATCACCCACTCCAGCCACACCAACCACACACATCACCCACTCCAGCCACACCAACCACACACATCACCCACTCCAGCCACACCAACCACACACATCACCCACTCCAGCCACACCAACCACACACATCACCAACCACACACATCACCACACCAACCACACACATCACCTACTCCACCGACACCAACCACACATCAGTCACTCCAACCACACCACCCACCCACATCACCCACACCACCTACACACATCACTCACTCACTTCACCCATACGTCACACTCACTCTCTACACCCCCTCGCACAACTCACACACAACTCACATGCACCAAACGCCGATCAAACAAATCTTTGATCAAACAAATCTTTGACGAATTAATGGTTTATTGGACTGAAGCCACCCCCCCATCCCATTATATTACCACCCCATCTACATTTTCTATCAACAGTTGTCACTATTTCATCTACCGCTTTTATTTACCCTCCATGTCAACGGCTCCAGATAAAAGTGCTATTAAATAATATTTTAAATTTTTCTTTAAATGTTATTGATCCATTGATAATATATCGGGTGGGGGGGGGGGGAAGGAAGGAGGATACATTGGCATGAGATATTCATCAATGAGCACCACTTAATCTTAATTCTGCCCCGATACTGACGATGATTCCACAACACATACAATTTGACGTTAAATGAATCCGATGCCTAGTGAGTTCTGCCCAGTCCAAAGATGACCGTTATCGTCTGCTCACAGGGTATCACGTGGCCACCCAAGCCTTCCAGATCATGGCCGTCATCGTGTACCTGTCGTCTCCCATCCTGCACTTCTTCGTCTACTGCAGCCGGAAGGACAAGACCAACGGGTACCTGGCCAGAATCTTTGACCTCGGCTTTAGCATCGGAGGTAAAAAAAAATCTTAACCACAGCGAATTTTAATTTTCTACTTTATATGTTTGGCTTTATTTTTCTTATTATGTACCAAGATTAATTTATGTAAGAATGTTGTTGGATTTATAAAAATAGTAAACACTTCACTATTTAAGAAAATAGAGAAGTAAAACTTAATGGGGAAATCTGAAATTTAGAGATAGATCTAGTTCGGATTAAAATGTTTAAAAAATTTGGTTTGCAATTTTTTTTTCTGCTGGCAATTTGTATTGATTGTGGTAACTGTTATATTATTTGCGCAAATGTGTTGAGCTTCTACATTTTGTATGTCTTGTTTACCATTTGTGCCCATATTGTACAAATGTGTTGTAGATTATTTGTATACACACCTACAACTTTCGTGTTCTGTTCCCCAGTCGGCTTCCACTTCATCAGCGTGATGGTGTTTGGTCTAAAAACTCCCGACCCAGGCAGCCTCTCCTGGTCCTTCAACATGTCAGCTGCAGCCGTCGCCATCGCCTTCATCGGCATCATCCTCGTCATCGTCTCCAGGGACAAGGCCCTGAAGAACTTCGGCTTCTTCCCCAAGGACGTCGCCCAGCGGAGGGTAGGGTCCCAGCAGACCAGCGGCACCGGCACGCCCGTGTCTACCAGCAGCCGAGCCCGGGGGGACACGCCCGCCACACTCAACAGAAGCCAGAACATTTTCGGCCCGGCGGAGCGACGCCCGCCACCGCCGGCACCGTTTACAACAACAGCATCAGCCACACCCCCTGCGGCGTACGGTCAAGGTCATAACCCACCGATCTTTGTCCAAAGTCGTGGGAGTCTTCCGCTCCCTGGCCCGGCCTACCCTCCTCCCGTGGAGTACCCTCCTCCCGTGGCGTACCCACCTCCCGTGGCGTACCCACCCTCCACGTCTCACTCACCTGGGGATCTGCGCCCCCTTAGAGGAGCCATCAGGCCCACAGCGCCGCCCATGGACAGGTGCGAACCCCCTTATGTTGAGAGCCCACCTCCCTCGTACTCCGAGGCCGTAAGATTTTCAACTCTTCAAAACCAGGAGCACTAAATTGTGACAGAGAACTGACGTGCAGGGGGAGTAGAGTGTCTCAGGGAACAGACCTGATTTTAAAGGAACTTGACGAAATGTGACAACTAGAGCTCTCGTAGATAACGCTATCAGAACTTTTCTGCTGATGAGTTCAAAGGTCGTTAGTGTGCGTTTGGTGTATGTTTGTGTTCGGTGTGTATGTGTGTATGCAGAAATGTTTTAAATTGAAAAATCTCTCCTACGACGACCTCTCTTAAACATCCTCCACTTACTACACACACACTCCCTCGTTATATATCTCTCTCTCTCTCACACTCCCTCGTTATATATAAATATATATATATATTATATTTTACACACACACACACACACACACACACACATATATATATATATATATATATATATATATATATATATATATATATATATATATATATATATATATATATATATATATATATATCTCACACACACTCGCTCGTGATCACACAAATACATGACTCTACTGCTCATTGGTAGAAATCCCTCCTGTTGTAACGATTGTTGAAAAAAAAAGTTTTTCAAGATGTTTGATCTCATAAATGTAATTTGAAGTTTTGGTGCAGCTGGAAAACGTCCAACAGCTTGATGTATATGTTACGGTCAAAGCCCGAAGTCGGCCAATGCTAGGATTGGCCGGCCAATCCGCGCATTGGCCAATATCGCCTCCCATCGGTCGGTCAAAGTCCGAAATTTTGCTTGATTTCGGCCTTTGGCCGGCCAATCCGCAGACTGGCCATGGTGGACCGGCCAAAGTCTGAAATAGCTCTTCATTTCGGCCTTTGGCCGGCCAGTCCGCGGACTGGCCATGGTGGACCGGCCAAAGTCTTAATTAGAAGATCATCTGGCTAGGGACGACCGGCCAAAGTCCGAATTAGAAGATCATGAGCAGATTTTATTTTATGCCGTAAGGATCATGAAATTAAGTCTTTATTGATTATTAATTAAAGTAAATGACAGACACATTCAGATTTTTTATTGCACTATAGTCTCAATCAATCAATATTATCATTTGTTACAACAAGTTGAACTTTTATGGCATTTAGAATTACATAGCAGCTTGATATGTTTACACTTGCAGCGATTTGTTGTGCACTTAGTTGTGCAATTGCAGCGAGTGTAGCCTTGGCCCCCAGTCAATGATTGTGAAGATGCGATGGTTCGTAGTGATTTTTATCAGTGCCAACTGACGACAATAAGAGCAGTTTTTCGTGAAGAATTGAAAACTCACTTCTAGCATACAGTTGTTTTAGAACACCATGTTCCGTTCCTAATTTGTAGAAACCGCCCTCGGCGCTCATGACAACTGCAATCACGCTTCGGGGATCACCGTGACCTCTGTCAACATCTGGAACACGGGTGCGTACATTGTCACCCACTTCACCATCTTTAAATTTTGTATTTGATGTTTTAAGCATCTTAGCACCTTGAGTTTGCAAGCCAGTATGAGCTGCTGATCTGTGTTCCGTGATGTCTTGTTTCTTGTGACACGATCTGCAGTACCCTTCGTCTGCTTCATTGGGTATTCCACAAATAGCATGGTCATCGTTGCCACAGGATCCAAAAGAATAAGCTGCACTACAATGTTTTTCACAAACAATATAGAATCTGTTTGCCACATTATTGTCACGCAACTGGTCTGGGCGTTCCGCCACGGCAGTAGATGTGTTAGCTGAGGATGTCGTTGCATTTATGGCAACCTCGATTTCTTGTTCAATGTTCTCAAGATCTTCCTCAGTAACTATTTTATCGAGAGCCCTTATATGGAAACTAACATGGATTTACATTTTTTTTTCTTTTGGCAGCCATCTGCTATGTCTGTTTCATGGTCTGACGGCCCTTTTGATCCATGTCGCCTTGCATATAGAATGCTATACAAACAAAAGCTAAACAATACGTTACTCTCAATGAAAACGCACCCAGAATAATGAAAATGCGATCACAATTTAGTCTAGATAGAACATTGGCCAGGACATCCCGGCCAGTGCGCGCATTGGCCGGCCAATGTACAAAATACGCTGTCAAGTTTAAGCGCTTCGGACTTTGGCCAGTACGTCCCGGCCAGTGCGCGCATTGGCCGGCCAATGTACGAAATACGATCTTAGCACTAAGTTCTTCGGGCTTTGGCCAGTACGTCCCGGCCAGTGCGCGCATTGGCCGGCCAATGTACGAAATACGATCTTAGTACTAAGTTCTTCGGGCTTTGGCCAAGAGAGCCGGCCAATGCGCGGATTGGCCGGCCAATCCGCGCTTTGGCCGCACTTCGGGCTTTGACCGTAACATATACATGTGACATTGTGTGACAGATTGGTGTATACATGTGACATTGTGTGACAGATTGGTGTATACATGTGACATTGTGTGACAGATTGGTGTATACATGTGACATTGTGTGACACATTGAGTCGATTGCAGAGGCGTAGCGAGGGGGGTACATATGTCCCCGGGCGCCGACCTTAGGGGCGCCAAAATGGGTTGTAAAAACAAATTAAAATCTCATTTTAGCTGCATTTTTGTATTATAAATATAAAAAAGTAAATGGGGGGGGGGGGGGGGAAGGCGCAAATCGAAAGTTTGAGGTGGGGGGTGCAAATTGCAAATTGAAAGGTTGCTACCGAGGGGGGGGGGGGGGGGGGCCAAATTGAAAGTTTGTCCCCGGGCGCCGGGAAGGGTCGCTACGCCTCTGCTCGATTGTGTGATACTAATTGTATTGTAGAGCAAACGTAGTCAGAAATCGAGCTAAAATCGATTCTCTGTGACCTAATTAAAAAAGAAAAACTTCCAAACAAATCTTTGCCTTCACAACTGCTGATCTAAGTTCGTGCACAAAGTGGATTCAGAGAATCCAAATCTTTTTTTTTTCCTCTTTTATCAAAGAGCTAACTTTTTTTCAAAGCGCGAAACAGTTTCCTTTGACGATTAATTAAAATCTATTACAAGCTGTTCTATTAGTATAAGTTGAGTGTATGTGTGTGAATGATGAGAACTGTTGGTGAATGTTCTTCACATTTTTCAAGATGTACAGTGTGAGCGATAGTAGTGGGACCAAGTGTGTTGTTGAGTGGAAGTCTGCCATATCTCGCAGCATCTGTGATATCTAACCAAACCAATGTGATAGATTTGTGATAGATTTGTGATTGTTTTCAATGTGTGAGTGTTTTGTTCATGCAAGTCTGCATAGGTCAGAAACTAATGTCGTCTGTCCTCTGAATACGTACATGGAATCTTGCAAAATGTGTATATAGGTTATTTATGTAATACAAGAACATTCCGAACTGCAAAAACAATGCAATTTTAATAATTCTACACTTTTACTATTGTACATTCACCTTATATATATATATATATATATATATTATGCAATTAATTATTGGAATTGAATGTTGCAATTAATTGAAACCAGTGAAAAGTGTATTAATTATATGTTCCAGTGTTTTTCTCGGTATGGCACGTTAATGATGTCTGGTGCGTGTGACCGCAGGGGTCTCTGGTTTAATTAGGGGGGGGGGGGGGCAATCAATGTGACGCGACTATATCCAACTTTTAAATATCTTTTTAATGGAGGGGGGGGGGGTGTGTGGAAAAAGGTCAGCTGTAATTTAATCGATATTTTGTACCACGAAGAATTTATTTTAAAATTTAGTTGTATTTAGTCGAGAATGTCTGGAGCTGAAATTAAGTCCATGGTGTAAATTTAGTTTAGGGTTAAAAATAAATTATAACGAGATCGCTCTAGACTCGTGGCTCTTCTAGCGCGAGCGGGTCTGTCGCTGCAGAATTAGCGCTCACTATAATGGGGGTGTCTTGGGGGAAGAGGGGGGGGGGGGCGTATAACGTCTGCGCTGTATACGCACCTGAGTCCATTGTTCACTTGTTATATCTTGTTTGTTTTTCTGCTCAATGACACATCACGTGACCTCGTTATGTAACAACAAAAATGTTTGTAAATTGTTAATGAATACAGTCATACAATCAATACTTTGTTGAGTCATCTCTATCGTCTGTGTTGAGTGTTTGGTTTTGTTTACACGGCACAATGATGTGTGTTTACAATTACGTGGCCTAATTGACTTTTGGTCAAGAAAATGTCAGCCTTGGTTCTGTAGGTGTGATCATCTATGCTGTCAATTTTAGGTGTCGTCTGTTACTCAAAGGTCCGAGGATCGAACCCAACCTAGAAGGCAGGGTGTACCAAAAAGAGGAAGAAAGTTGATAAAAATAGATTTGTGTGTCGTAATTTGGCCAACAAAGAAATCTATCTATAACTAGCCGTCCCGGCCAGGCCCTGCTCTGGCTTCTGTGAAAAACCTTTCTGTTAAAGACCATTACCTGTGTGTTTAGTAATCATCATAAACCCGGCATTGCCCACCCAAACCACAACCAAAACCAAAACAACAAAACGCAAACATAACGCTAACACAATTACAAATACAAACGAAAACAAAAACTTAACAACAAACACAACCACACCCACAAACACCAATACAAACACAAAGAAAAAACAAACAAAAAAGCAAACGAAAACAAAAACCTAACAACAAACCCAACCACAAACACCAATACCAACAAAAAAAAAATCAACGAAAAAAGCAAACGAAAACAAACCAAATCCAAACGCAAAACCAACCAAAAACACAAATACAAACCCAAACAAAAAAACCACAAACAAAAACGAAAAAAGAAAGAACAAAAACGAACCAAATTAAAACGCAACCACTAACGCAAACCCACCTAAACACAAAGAAAACACTAACGCGAACATAAACGCCCGGGGCGGAATCACCTGTTTTAGCTTAATGAACGACTATAGTACCCCAACTTATTCACAGTCTTTTGCACTCACTTAAACGAACGCGCCTGTTTCAATTTAATAAACAATTTTAATACTCCAAGCTTATCCGTAAAATACCTACAACATTTGCACTTGATCAATCCCCGCTAATTATGTAATTATTTTTTTTCCCAACACCAAAACAAAGTAATTAAAAAGTAAATTATTTTCACGGAATGCAATGGTTTTATAAAGGGAAGTAATTGTGTTTTTCCTAATTTATCAAAGGGAAGTAAGTGCTATAGGACTAAATAAAGACATAATTAGAATTTTTGTAAAAGATGATATTTTTTTTAAAACTTGTGTTGAATGAACATGCCGACAATTATTACTATAATTTGAAAAATGAAAATTATTTCCCAACACTTTCAATGGTAATTTTTTAGC